TGTAGGAAGCTTTGGGCATTCTTCCGTGTCGCACAACTGGGCTATCCTAGGTAGGGTTGACAACCTACCTTATCTATCACTGCTTTTCTACGTTTCACTTCATACAACCACCTACGTGTATCTCATTTATATCTCCTCCTAATCACCTGTGGAAATGAGTAATAATAGACTCCTGACCGAATCTGGCATCAGGAACATTTCAGGTAAGGCTTCGCCTCAGCTACAAACCTCCCCATCCTTGGTAGCAGCTAGGGCCGGAGGCAAGAGGCTTAATGCCGCCGCAAAAGATCACGTGTCGACTTTAGGAGGGCAGTCGCAAGCAACACTTCCTGGGAAAAGTCGAATTACTGTCCCTCTGAACCCTTGTGTTGCAGTTCCTCGACGAGCATGTCTTTCTGTCACCACCAGCCAAAACCCTAGTCCACCTGTGAAGGCTACCACTGAGAGACGGAAGAGAAAGAAAAGGAAGTCGTCAACCAAACCTTCTAGTCAGACTGACGACTGTCACACGTGTGGTCCCACCGTGGCCAAGAGGGATGCTGCCTTTGAGTGTAACATCTGTAATAAGTGGGTGCACAGTCAGTGTGATGAGGACATACTGGACTAATTTTACACATTCATGGCGCGCTACCCATGTACGTGGTCCTGGTGCATCTGATCACAGAGCCGTACAAGGCCACTCTCTTCTACAAGCTCGCTAAATGAGGTTTTAAAAGACGTCTCAGTGGCTACTGTGATGTCAGCACCGCACAGACCAGTCAGCACTGTTCCCCAGACAGTCACACCGTCGAACAGTCCAGAAAGACCCAAACGACGACCAGACAAGCGACCGACCACATCAGTCCCTAACCCCAAGGTCACATTAACAGCCATCCCACTGTACATTGGGAAAAATGTGACAGTGGAAAAGAAGGTGCACCCCTCCCACAGAAACCACTCACAGTACACGAAAACAGAGAAGTTGATGACAGTCGAACTCCATCATCATATTTGGCGTTCCCGTGTGCCATGATAGCCTCCTTCAGAACGGAAAATGTTTTGACAAGCAGCAGTGGAAAGCCGTTTGCACCATACTAGGACTGGGTAGCTTGGGAGCATTGATGGCACTCGCTGAGGGTTGGGCGGAGAGCCGTCCAAGCTGGACTACCATTTTAAGAGTGACCACCTGCTGGTAGAAAATGTGCGGGTTCCAACCCTACTCCGCAGCAGCGATCACGGCCTAGTTGTGTTTGATGTGGTACTCAGCGTACATTTATCATGAGAGATCTAGCCTCTGTGTTCGCTACAGCAAGGCGAACTAAGTGGCGACCAGCCAATACCTGTAGGCAGCACCATGGCCTTAGGAGTGGAGAAACTTGTTGATTGATCAACATCGGGAACCAGTTAGAGTTACCATGAAGAGGGTTGTCTCTGGAAATGTCCCTATAATCACAGCACTTCCGTGGAAACGAACCTCATGGCCGAAGCGAGGTACTGAGCGCCTTTTGAAAGCCAAGAGGAAAGCATGGCACAAGTGGTGGACTTCCGGAAAAGAATCTCACCGTATAACATATATGGCCCCAAGAAATCTATGTGACATCAAAGTGAGGGAAGGCAGGATGTCATTACAGACTAACCTCGTCCAGAGGCTTGAGGAGAACCCAAAAAACTATGTCGGTTTGAGATAGGCAGAAAATCCACGGGCCATGAGGCCTGCCTTTTGAAAGGCCTAAACGGAGATAACCACTGCAGATTATAGGCCGTCGAAGCCTTTAGCAACACCTTCGATGCACAACTGAATACGTCTCTACTAAACCAAAACTAACAACTGTCCGACCAACGTCCAGCACCACCGAATGCGGTAGCGTTACCTGGAATAAAGGCAACTGCCGCTACGGTCCTCGAGAAACTATCAAAGCTCCAGGCAGGGAAATCATCGAAGTGCGATGACATCCGACTGGCTGTGTTGAAACAATGCGCGGGTGCCTTGTGCAGTCCGCTGCGTAATCGGTTTCATTACTCCTTGGACAATCACATGCTTCCATGGCTGTGGAAAAGTGCTGTTCTGTCAATCACCTTAAAAATAGGAGACAGGCAGAACACAAATGCCACAGATCCATGGCCATCATACGATTGCTGTCAAAAGTAATGGAGAGCCTGGTAGACGACCATATCAGGGAGTACTTGGAAGAGGGGGGCACTCAGTGATGCTCAACATGGTTTCAGAAAGGGTAGGTCTTGTGCCCCAAACATTCTGGTGGCAGGTGACAAGTGAACGGCACGCTGCGACCTCCAAACTCCTGTCCACGTTATCTTCCTGCATTTCGCTAAGGCCTTCGACACAGTCCTGCACACCATTCTTATCCACAAAATAGAAAGGTTCGGCATCAAGAGGGAAGTGCTTTCATGGTTACAGGACTATCTAGATGGTAGACAATTCTGCACGAAAGCCAACAGAGTTTGCTCGACTTGGAGGACATCATCATCTGGTGCATCACAAGGGGCGATTCTGGGTCCACTGCTATTCCTTCTCTTTGTGAACCACCTCCCACTGAATCTCAGCTCCCCAACTCTACTCTACACTAGTGATGTTAAGCTATGGGGAGTTATGACGTTGGAAACAGAATCAAGTGCACTGAAAAGTGACCACAGATTGCTTGCAGAGTGGGTGAATATTATTGGACTAGCATTTAATCTAGATAAGTGCCGAGCCATGTTTCTCCGCACCCTAGACTCTCAGAAGGTACCCTATTCTCTCTGTGGAACACAACTCTCCCACACCACCAGCGAGAAAAACCTAGGACTAATAATGAATGACAAACTAGACACTAGCTTCAATTATCCAGGAGATGCCTCCACAGCCTACGCAGTACTGCACTTCATGCTCACACCACTGGGTGCCCTGACCCCGGAACTCCTTTTGAAGTTGTATAAGACGTATACACGACCCCACCTAGAGGCATACAACGCCATTTCACCACTATGTTTGCAAAGAGACGTGAATCTTGTAGAGAAAGTCCAAAGGAGAGCTGCAAAGTGTGTCGTGGGGATGAGGCGAAAACCATATCAGGACAGGCTGAAATATCTGAGGCCCTACTCCCTAAGCTACTGTAAATTACGTGGTGATCTGATAACGGCTCACGATATACTCGGTAACCCAAGTCATCCGAACATTGGAATCGTACCCAGCGGCCACTATGGCGGTCCTCGTGGTGACCCAAGGAGGATCGCCCACCAAAGTGCGAAAAGCCGTGTGTGATCACACTCCTTCTCTCTGCGAGTTCGCGGCCACTGGAACGCGTTGCCTGCCGAGATTGCTACTGCTCCGTCTACTGACAGCTTCAAGAAGAGTTAGGGCAGTTACGCAGCAACGCACAGTTTGCGCTCATCCAACTGGTATATGGACTAGACCAACATGACCTACTAACTTAGATCGACTAACCGTTACTGAACACTTTGTAAGACCACCATCACTTGGTACTTGGCTCAACCTTATACGTTCCTATAGACATTCCCTCCAGTTACCATCTCCTACTATAAGAATTACTATATTCCCACTCGTCCTATCACGTTACTTATTCTTCTCCCTCCTGACTTTACGTTCTCAAACGTTAACAAAAGCTCTCCCCATCACCCCTTCCCAATAAACCTACCAATGTTTCTTCTTCCGTGCCGTTTCCTTTTTCCTAATCTTCTTTTCTTTCTTCCCTTTCTTTTTCTATTCTTTTTTCCCTGCACTTCCTCTCCCTTGATTTCTCTGCACATATTTTTCATCTCCTTTTTACAACCAGTCCGACCAACTGTCTGCTGGCACGGCACTTGAGGAACCCATGTGCACCGCTGTCCATGGAAGGAAAACAAACAACACTCCCTACAAATTTAATCAACATGCAACCGCCCGTCGGACTATCCAGGGCTACAGCAGTTGAGTGATTATACCTACTGCATCGAAGTCCACCAAAGACCTAGAACCGTCCAGCCAGACCTAGAAGAGAGTGCGAAGAAATCGATTGGTTCACACTAGCTCGCAGAAAGATGTTAGATGTTGGATAGTGGATTACCAGCAACGCTTGTTTTTTCATAAATACTATTCACTTCTCTTTTTCTCAGTCACCTATGGCCCTATTTCTAGCACCCTCTGAGTAACGCTTAACACATACTTGAAAAGGCCTGCAAAGATGGGAGTTGTGAACGGTTAATTGACTTTAATGACTGCTTCTGGCCCCCCACCAAAAAAGCAAGGCTAAATTCTGTTGAATTACCTTCATATAGACCGTCACTCATACAAAGCTATAAGCAGGAAGAAAGTAGAGGCTTCTGTGATCATCAAAGGAGAACAGCCGAACCTCAAAACCCAGAAGCAAGAGCTCGAAAACTAAAACTCCTCTACTTGCACCTCCGATGCCTTACCGTGACATATCGTTATAGCCCCCTCAACCGACTCATTCAAGAGGCGATTAGACAGTTATGTCACCTCGCATGGACTACCACGTACGTACTCAGGTAGTCACCAACCTCAGTACCCCCAACTCCCTCCTAACTACCACTCACTATCTCTCTCTCCTTAATACACCCGCATTACCCACTAATTTTTCTGTAGGAATCAAACCCATGCGACTATTCGCGAAACTCCCACATGCTTTTCTCTCTCTTATTTCTCTTTTTTACCCCTCCCTTTCTTCTCCTTTTCATCTCTCTTCCCTTATTTTCTCTTTTCTCCTTCATTCTTTTACCACTACCTTACTATTCTTTTTCAGGTACCTACACAGACAGGAGCCACAGCAGTCCCCTAGACTTCCCAGCGACCCGTAGTCCCCCAATCACTCTACAAATTACAACTTACTGGCCCACAAAACATCCACCTCATTGAGGCTAAAAGCGGGAATGCAGAGGGGATTTCCTCGTCCACTGCAGGAGTGAACCGAATAACTCGAACCAAGCCCTAAGAACCAGACGTGAGAGATCAAAAACTATTAGTTTTCTACGCTCGCATCATCAATATTGGATGTTGATGGCCTTTTGACCTTGATTGGGAGGGTATTTTGGCCTTAGGTGTTTTTTTTAATCAGGAAGAAGCATGTCGTATATGCTATCGCACCTAACAAATGGGTGGCAGGTAGACCAAGCTATTTTGTCAGAAGAAGACAGGGTTGTTGTCATACGTTTTGGGCATGACTGGGATCCCTCATGTATGGTTATGGATGAGACTCTATTTAAAATTGCAGAGCGAGTAAAAAACTTTGCAGTCATGTATTTGGTTGATATAACGCAAGTTCCAGACTTTAATAAGATGTATGAACTCTATGATCCTTGTACTGTTATGTTCTTTTATCGGAATAAGCACATAATGATCGATCTGGGAACGGGAAATAATAATAAAATTAACTGGCCTATAGAGGATGGACAAGAATTTATAGATATTGTTGAAACTGTTTATAGAGGTGCAAGAAAAGGTCGGGGTTTGGTTGTTTCCCCGAAAGACTACTCGACTAAGTATCGCTACTGAGCCCTTCGGTTTCTAACTTCATTACATATCTTTGAAAATGTTCCTTTAGCATTTCTGTATTTTCCAAATACATTTAATTCACAAACCAAATTCCAGTTGTTATTGTTGGGTATGCACCTTCTGGGTGGAGCGCAAGTGAACACTTGACTTTATATCGTGTCCAGCTTTTGTATTTTCTCGGTATTTGGTCATGTAATAATACTGGCTGTACGGGGTCGAATAGTTCATTTCTACAAGCGGTGGTCTCATTTTTTTGGCCACGAATGGGGCTAATGGTTCATGAAGCGGATGGTAGAATTCACGATTCAAAGTGCTTTCATGTTATAACAGTTCGATATTGTGCCTTTTGAGAGATACGATATCGGAAACCTGTGCATTCGTTCGTGTTCTATTTCGTTTAGTTTGTTAAGTTGATAAGTTGGTTTTTATCCGTTGGCTTTAAATCAAGTTAAAGAGTTGAGATGCTTTTTATTGCCACTTATTATCGTGGTCTACATGGTCAACTTAAACATATCAACCTTAATGACTAGTTACCAGAAATCTATATTTAGTTCCAGGGTAGTTATTTGACTATGAACTATGATAGGGATAGTTGTTTTGAACGTGATTTATATCAGTGTATTGTATAGCGTCAAAAGTGTAACTGTCGAAATTCCTCAGCACCTTAATACTCCTGGAAAAATATTGTATATGTTCAACAAAAGTATGAGAATGTTGTAACGTCTTGTAGATTTGCTGTAATATGCAGGTTCGCTGATTCTCTTTTTTTTCACCGTAAGTAACGACTTCAAGGTACAAACTAAGTCCCATAGACCAAACTGGACTGTATCTGATGATAAAACCAGTTTGGCCTGATTCCTAGAGGAGCTATCCGTGTATGCTGCCGCTGGTAGAAAAAAAATCAATAGGAAGTCGCTTGCTCGAAGGTTTACTATTGACCTTGGAGCTATCGTGTTTAAGGGTTGTATTGATTACTATTTTGTGCATTGTGTACTACATAGCGACAGGAAATTGGGAGGACTAGAGAAAATATAAATGAGAGAGACTGAAGGTGTTAGATACCGCTTAAGTTGTGGTTTTTTAAAACTCCGAAAATTCATCTCACTTAAAGCATTCATTTCAATTTCCACCAACAGTGGATGCAGCATCATCATAAAGTCTCAGTATCGTTAATATGAACCGCTCATCCTATTCATTCATAGTTCATTAGTTGGTTCATCTTTAAATTAATGATGCTTCACTGGAGCTTTAGGTAGGTTTTCTGTGGCCGGTTCGTATCCTCCTTAGGTTGTCTTAGTTACAGTCCATTTCAACGAAAGTACTTGTACATATATTCCGAATTTAGTTATCCAGTGCACATCTCTGTTCACGATAAGATTCTGAATTTAATTTTTCCATACTGAGTTTGTACCGATGATCACTACTGAAGTCAATTTACCTGATTAGTTGGTTGACACAATTCGTAGTTTTGGTCAGGTTAGTTTATTTATTTGCAGTGGTTAGGGAATCTTGGTGACATGGCTAAAAAGTGGTCACAATGGCGCAGTTGTATTCACTCGTTGACATCTACAGCTTGATTATTCTCACCTACCTTTATCTTCAGGTTACTTATTCTCTCACACTAATTCATCTTTGATATCACTTCTTTGTGTACTGCTGTGAAGTGTGGAAATTTGACCTGATACGTCTGTGTGCGAAGTTCTACGTTGACTTCATCAGTCATTTAGTGCCATATATTTGCATGGACTAGTTCTAAAGCTTCACTTCATCTAGCATTTGTGTATCACCTACGAGCCTTCCGAAAATTCCGCCTATCGCACCAAAAAGCATATACGTGTATCCATTGCTTTGTGGTAAGCTGGTGTCATGGTCACTCGTTCTCAGCTCTCGTTATGACGTATGAAGTCTTTTTCAGTTGTTTGATAAACATTCAGGTCACAGTAGTTTCTCTTAAAATTTAATGTTGCTTGTCATATCAGCTCTAGATGCTATGTAATTGGATAACTCCGGCTCCAAATTTTCCTACTAACTAGAAACATTGGGGTACTAATTCTATGTAATGCACCTACTAGCACACTTCTGAAGTGAAAATGGAAACGAATAGTCACTTTGCTTTAACATCGGTGTTGATAATTCCATCTTAGGTTGAGTCATCTTCCAACGCTACCTTGGAACGATGTTTCCGCAGTTTACATAAATATTTTATTTTTATCAGCTAAGTGTATGGATGTTTTCATGGTGTGATTCGAAAAGAAATCAAGTTTTTTTCTCATGCAGTAGTAAAATAGCTTCTAGTATTTTACCTTTAAGAAACGTTTGCGAAATAGGTCTTGTTGACAAAGTAGTTATGCTATTCTGTGTCCTATTACAAATCTGGTGGCAAGTCGATTGATTTCTCACACTGCCTCAAAGTTATAGTGTATTGTTGACATATTTAGCAACCTTTTGAATAAATTTAGTCTCGCTGCTGTAAAGATGTATTTGGGTTTGAAAATGAAAAATCTCATGATTTGCATTGATTCAAGTCTTCATAATTTACAGCAGCATTGAAAGAAAAATTGTAGCCAGTAAGGTGTCGAAAGAGATGAGAAGGACATTGGAGAATACGATATTATTTTAAATCAGTAGGATCAGAATTTTGAAGTTGGTAGAGAGCTAATGCAAATGTAATATCGTGATCTTTTCTGAACATTGTCACGAAAAATTTCAACAAGTGGTTTCTGTCATCTGGAAGACACTATCTAGGTAGTCAATATTTCCTCACGTCACTCATAAGCAGTTAATGATTTTATTGGTTGGTGTTATGTCCACCTAGTAACTATATTGGAAACCTGTCTCAGCTCGGATGTGTATGTAATGGTGTAGCAAGCGTAACACAGTACGGCAGCCTGATTGGCTGACCTGCCTTCTACGTCATACCTCAATATTACACCTTTGTATTTCTATCTCATTTTAGCTCTTTCTGAAACACCTTTAATTGGTGACCATTAGCTTAAGCATTTGACTTTCAAGCTGTTGGTCCTCGATTCAAATCCACTACCTCCTAATTGGATCTGGGAAATGTTAACTATTGTAAGCCCTGACAATAAATGTGAATAGTAGCCTAGTACATAAGTATACGTGAAGTTGAGTTACAGTTTTTAGCTTCAGGTAACCTTTAACCTCAAGGCACCCGTCTTCCATGACAACTAAGGGGGGGGGAATGGACTACTGTACGGTATATTCACCGTTTGATCGACTTTCAGATATCTTGTTTGAGTCAAAGATGACGTGATTTGGTAAATGTCGAGTGCGCTTTTTGTATTTATCAAGAGAATCAGTTAGGGACCAGCGTATCCGTGTTTAAACAAATTTTCGATTAAATGGAACTTTGTCTTATTGCAAATAATTTTCAAGTGTTGGTTACTGGACAGCTTACTGATGCATGGCAGCCAGGTAGCATAACAGTCCTCACATTGGGTACGTCTGTCAGCCTGGAACAAAACCTTACTGACGTTTACTAAGTTTTTTAAGCTGTTAGCGTGAACGACTTCTACACCATTGTTTTACATTTGATAGACGTGAAAGACATTTCAGGTGTCTTAAGATTACGTTTTTAGGTATTTAGCAACGCCTGTGTTTTTTCAGTGTCGCTAACAAAACTGCCTTTTGCATATTCAAGTTCTGCTGGATTCTAGGTAGGGAAGCAGTTCCTGAGAAGTCAGGTGAACTAAGTAATCTCAATCAGCCCATTTTTCTTACAGGACAACTGTATGGACTAGACTTGGAGTTTGTTTTATATTAGCTAAAAACTAGGTTTTGTTCGTAGTATGCTAAAGGAGATCTCCGGAATATTCTCCATTCCTGAGTAATTTATTTATCAAAATTTGTGAACTGCTGGGGAAGTAGCAATACCACAAGTTGATCTGCTTGTTCATAAATTTTGTCCAGTCAGTTTCCAATTGATCAGCTTCAATGCATCATTAGCATTTAAGGAGTAGAAACTTCTGTTCAAATTGCTAACAAAACATAAAGAAGCTCTTATTACTATGAATTATTAGGTAACTTACCTTTAACTGCCAGCAGATAGATGCTAGGCCGTGAGTCACAAATCCTGCCCGATCTAGCTGGTAAGATTGGACTGGGTATCTTGAGTTTCAGACTCAAAACCCGTTGCTTGAAGGTCGAGCGTCTAAGCCAGAGTGGATATCACTGTATTGTATAAAATTGTATAAAATTGTTTTGTAAAAGTAACCAGTCTAAAGCAGAGATAACTTGTTGCTTTGTGGGATTTCATCACTTTTATGCTAAAAGGTGCGTTGTACTTATTTAATATTGGTTGTTTTAATGTCTGTTGGTTTCACATTTCTCATCTGTTTCACTACTTTGATCTTATGAGATAACTGATTTGTAGAATACATACTTACTTCACAAATTCTATTGTGCATACTTTTATTATTATCACTATTGTTTAAGTGCTAATATTCACTAAGTATCCTTTCATTCTTATAACGGTAGTGGTTTATTTGAAGAAAATTGATTTTGCTGTGTTATCAAATGTTCTGCTAGATTGTTTGTCCTTTTTGTTTCTATTGTTTAGCAAATAATTAGTAATCATTTATTTCTCTCTTGTTTGTGTTTCTTCTTGAATTAGAAGCTGATTGAAGTTAGTGGAAAATATTAAAAATGCCTGTTTTATCAAACACTGATCGAGAACGTATCGGAAAACTTTTCAATGAACTTGATGTAGATAAAGATGGTCGGATTAGTGTTACTGAACTTAGTCGTGTCATAAGAAAGAGCAAAGATGAACCAAATCGTCAAAGCAAAACGGCTAAAAAAATTATGACCGAAGGAGATATGGATAATGATGAGACACTAACCTTTCAAGAATTTCTTTCCTATATACAAGATGCTGAAACACAGTTGAAGCTTGCGTTCAAAGAAATTGACCAGAACCACGATGAGCGCATAGATGTTAGTGAAATTCAGTCGGCTATGAAAAGACTTGGTGTTAATGTAAGTGAGGCTGATGCACAGAAGTTACTTGAACGAATGGATAAAGATGGCTCCCTGGACATTGATTTTAAGGAGTGGAGGGAGTTTTTGTTGTTTAGTGGAACTTCAAAGATCGATGAAATATTTCGGTACTGGAGGCATGCATCAGCCATAGATATCGGCGAAAATATGTGTGTCCCAGATGACTTCACGGAAGAAGAAAAAAAGTCTGGTGATGCATGGAAAACGTTAGTCTCCGGAGGTTAGTACTGTAATTTAATTGCTAACATCTCTTTGCCTTTCCATATCTCACCTAACTGTTTGTGTCAAAGCTTTTTTTACATTTAAATGGATAACGATATGCCAACACTCAAGGGTTGTTAGCTGAGTTTGTATTATTCTCCTAGCATCAGTCAGTTGCTGATATTTATTTACTTGATATTTACTTTAAAAATGACGTTTAGCTGTTCATTTCGAAACCTGATAATCAGTAGTTTTCTCGTTTGTGCTATGATAGAATTTCACTACTTCACCACCACACATTTCTCGACATCTTGCTATTACGTTGAGGCTAACTCAAAGACAGTGAAACTGATGGAAATTACTCTCAGTGTATGGAGTAATGGAATATGACCAGCTTTTCTTTTTGATAACCGATCTTTTCACTATCATGAATCCATTGGTTGTTTGTTATCTTCCAGCTCTTATTGAATCTGAGGACTCCATCAATAAACTTATATAACGAAAGCCGGTAGGCCCTAACAATTTGTTTTCAGATATTTTAAAGCTAGTAGCTCAAAATTATCGCTTTGATTGAAGTATTATCTAGAATATGACATAATTTCCTCTGATTGCCATCTGTTGTGATCGTTTTACTTTAGAAAAAGCGAACAGATATCGACATATGATGACCACATAAAAATTAGCCTTATCAAGAAGTTATCAAAGACTTTAAGACTCATAAGTGTTCGATGCTTAGGAAGTTTAAATACAGTAGACCTGAGAACAGCAGTAAGGTCTCAAGTCTGACTTCGTGTGTAATTATCAGGTCTCTACCATGGTTTTTAAATTAGTGACAGTGATCCTACCATAGTCCATATCTTGGAACACAAACTTGCATCTTTCAGAATCTATGAGTATTTTTTGGCTTGAAGTCAGCATTTAACTCAGTCCTGTGTCATTCGGTGGATTTCGATTAGATCGATTTTGTTGACAAAGATCTGTTTTTCAAACACCTTGAGGTGTGTTCCTCTCCCCTTGTACGAAATTTCAAGTAAGTCCTGATTCGACTAAAAAATTAGAGATCTGGAAGTAAGTTTAACTTCGCAAGTACAATCAGATATGCGGTTTAGATAACTTACATTTAGTTTTTCCAGTATCAAAGTAGGATTTGTGTAAGCTAGTTGACTCTATCGTTCGCAAACGTACGGTGAACTGGAAGTATTCCATCTCTGTGAAACGAGTTCATAAAAGTACTCCCCTTTATTTAAGAACTTACGTACTATACGTAGCAACCATCAGTGTGTAAATGTGCTACAGCTTACTTTAAAAGTACTGCAAAAGTGTTGACTAATTTGATTCATGTGGGTCTTTCTTTTTGTTCGTGTATTTGGTTTACGTATGACGTCTTCGTCCTACCGGATATTTGGACCCTATGACAGATATTTGAGATTAACTCTGTGTTTCATGACGTTAATGCTACCTTTAGCATCTTAGATCGGGTTGCGTCCCATAGTTATCTGTTAGAGGTCATTGTGCTCAACGAGTATAGAATACCTCTAACGCTTCATAAGAAATTACTTTACGTAAGGTTACTGAATACGTCCACTTGTCTTCTCTATTCCCAAGAGGTTGAAAAAGGTTGTCCAGTTTTTTCAGTCTTCTAAAACTGTTCCATGAATAATATTCTAAAAACTCATTTAAAGAAATTACATGTAAATCTATTATACGGAGAAATAATTTTTGATCTTCACTATACAGGTGATATTATTTTAAGGTGCTGTAAAATGCATGGTGTTGGGACCTAAATTAATCAGTTGACGGTTAGGAAAGTTCAAGTGGAAGTTTACTTATCGATGACTATAACCTATGTTTACATTCTTTCTGTCTCTGAAAAATTGCCCAGAAGAAGTGAAGGTTCATATATCTACACAGTGGGTTGGTAGTGGCTAAAGTCATTTTTATACAGTTCAAACCACAAGTGCATGCATATACCTGTTCCATCTTTCTGCGGGACCAACTCAGGCTTCAATCGTTGATTAGTGGGTTTGAGTCCTGTGTCAACTTGGTCACTGAAACCCACATAGCATTGGACTTAGCTCATACAACCTTATATCGTTGGAATTCCTTTTCAGTCTTGACATTATTATGTCATTCATCTGACTGTAAAATATAGAGTATCAGGTACCTGCTGGATTGTACTTCTCATCACATATTTTCTTTGCCACCTTTAATTTCATGTTCGTTTATTACTCCATGTTTTCAACATACCCTTTCTCATGTTACTTGTCTTTTAGTTTCTTTTCGATGCTAAGCTTTAGGGTTCTAAGAAAAATATCTAAAATTAACCAGTGATCAGAAGCCATTGCCTTTCTTTCATCACAACTGAACTAGTATAGTTGACATATTGATTTTACATCACTTTCAGAAACTGTGATTAACTTACAAATAGCGATATCTTAAGGTGAGTGTAATTCTTGTTCCAAAAGCTCTAACTATACCTAAGTTTGGTAATAATGATAGATAGTGGCTTGCAGTGGGATCCACGACGCGCTTTTCGTCCTGTTTGGGACTCGCCATCTGGATATACCTGCTTCCCAGTGAGTGATGTTGTTCCCACTTAGACTCTAACCCAAAACTGATCTCTTCAGACACCAGATTATTACCACTGGGCCACTTAGATATGATTTCTAAAATTTGTTGTGTGATAAGAATAAAACACTACTGTTTCACAGTATATTAGTGTCTTTTCTAGATCTGCTGGTCGTTTTTAAATAGGCGGAAAGAAAATTTTGTCGAGTAGATTATTTCATACCACCGGAATTTTATATCCTTCCTAGTGATGGTCAAGAGTTATCATTGTATAGTGTTAAGATCTTTCTGAAAATAAGATTTCATTGTTTTATCATATCTTAGAAATGAATCAACAATACAAGTTTTCTCGACATTATATTTCGTACTTACTGTTTCTATGGGTCTGATATACTGTAACTACTATGACGTAGTTTGAATCAGATATCGATCAGTAGACAAATGTACATGGATCGGATAAGTATAAAAGTTTATCTCACAAATAGGGAGACAAATCTCATTTGTGAGAATACTAACATTATGGTTCTTGCTCTATAAAGCTACAGAATTAACATTCATTGTGAGAGTCTTTCGAACTTATTCAAAGCAATATGATAGTCCTGGTCTGCTACTGTTTCTCGTGGTTGGACAACACATTTTTTTCAAATTTTAAAGATAGCTTTGTCATCACTTATCGACACTTGTAATCTCCCTTTGTATTCCTGGATCTATTCGCTTGACTTCTGTTGACACATGGATTCGAATACAGATGTCTTGGCACTGCGTGAATACTCATTATGTCATAGTTTACTTAGTGGTTAGCGATGGAGTCCAGTACATGGGTTTCGTCCCATTTGGGACTCATCAGCTGGATATACCTGTACTCCAGTGAGTGGTGGTGTTACCAGCAGAGGTCGAGCAATTTGATCCAGTATAACCATGAGAGATTATAAGAATCAATAAGTGGCAACTGATACCTATTGTGCAAGAGTGACACTCGTGCCTCAGTGGCGTAGTTTATAACTCCTTGATGTTTGATGTGATGGGTACTGCTTTCGAGTCTCAGTGGGAGCACTATTACTCACAGGGAGGCAGATACATTCAGGTGACTAGCCCCAAGTAGGATGAAAAGCGTGTCTTCAATTCCACCGCTAACAACGAACTAAACTATAACGTAGCCTTATTTTGATGATCATTTGAATAGAGTTATTTATTCACTGAAATGATTGGTAGTAATTTCGCGTTGACTAATTTCTATACCCAAGTATACCCGAGTAAAGAGGGAAGGTTGGGCATAGGGCTAGCAACCCTATCCCGTAAAACCAGTCCAATCGCTGAAGAAACTTCAAAGAACAAACAAAATATAAAAAGTAATAACAAAATGACTCCTTGCTGGAATCGGAGAGGCGAAAGGACGCCAGTTGGTGAGAGCCTTCGGGAAGCCAATTGGCCGATGTATCTTCTATCGATGAAAGCGAAAGTAAACGTGGGGACATGGAATATCTGCACCATGTTTGAACCCAGCAAGGCAGCCCAGATTGCAAACGAGATGAAAAGGTATCACATTGAAGTCCTTGGAATTTGCGAAAGCAGATGGAAAGGTAGTGGACTCTCCAAACTGTCAACTGGAGAATCAATAATCTACTCCGGTTACCCATTCGACAACCACGAGCACACTGAATTATGGAGTGGCTATCATGATGTCCCCAAGAGCATCGAAGGCTCTCATGCAGTAGGAATCAATCTCCTCATGAAAGATCATGACAGCAAGGTTCAACTCGAAAGGAAGGAAGGTCACAATCATACAGAGCTACGCTGTGCACCTACAAATAATGCAGAACAAGAGAAAAAGGAGTAATTCTACAGACAACTTCAATCAACACTGGATAAGACGTCATTTGGCGACATCAAAATTCTAATGGGCGGGGTGACATGAATGCCGAACTTGGAGGGGACAACACAGGAAGAGAACTAACCATGGGTCGAGAAGCGCTCGGTGAGGTGATGAACGAGAATGGAGAATTGTTTGCAGAATTCTGCGCATCCAGCATTTTGGTGATTGGAGGCAGTGTGTAGAAACACAAGGATATCAACAAAGCGACATGGATTTCACCTGATGGACACATTAAAAGCCAAATCGATTTGTCTCAATGTCAAGAAAATGGAGGCGCAGTCAGCCTACATGACACAAGGTCAAGAAGAGGAGCAGATATAGGTTCAAACCACTTACTGTCTAGTGCAAGGAACCTTCCAAACCAAGTTGAAAGCCTTCACAGAAGTTGGTGATAGGCCACAGTACAAGTTTCACACCCAGAACAGAAACTGAAGGACGAAACTACAAAGGACATCTTCACTTCAGCCATCAGAACAAAATGGGAGACATTAGGCAACATCCCCGAGGAAACCTGCGTGGAAGAACACTGGAAATCTTTGAAAGCTATGTGGAAAGAAACCTGCATAACCGTGTAAGGAAGGAAGAAGAGAGAAGAAGACAAGGAATGGATCTCGATGTACACATGGAAGCTGATAGAGCAGGGAGAGGAAGATGGTGATGGTGAAGCGGAAGATGAACCAGTGCAGCGCAATGGAGTGCAGGGATGAACAACGCAAAGAGGAACTGAGTACAGCGTATAAAACACTGGACAAGGAGGTGAAGAAGAGTGCGCGCAAGGACAAAAGACAATTCTACGACACATTGGCAAGTGAAGCAGAACAGGCTGCTGGTAGGAAAGGTCTGACAACATTGTGTCAAATAACCAGGTTACTATCTGGGAAGAGATCAACACAGACGAAACCAATGAGAGATAGTGAAGGGAACCTAGTTACCAAAGGAGAGAAACAAAGGAAACGATGGGCTGACCACCTCATAAAACTCTTGGATCGACTACCACCACCACCTGCAACTCGTTCAGAAATACCACCAGTAACCGCAGAACCACCAGTGAACACATGCCTTCCCATAAGAACCGGAGTCCTGAACACCATAAAGCTTCTGAAATCCAGGAAAGCAGCAGGACCAGATGGAATCCCACCAGAAGCACTGAGAATGGACACAGAGACAACAGCGGACATGCTCACACCACTATTGCAGAAAGTCCGGGAGGAAGAGAAGGTACCTGCAGATTGGAAGAAGGTCTTCCTTGTCAAACTCCCAAGGAAGGATGACATAAGTCTTCGCAATATCTGCCGCGGAATCATGCCCCTGTCTACCCAAAGCAAAATATCAAGTCGCGTCATCCTGGGGAGACTAAAAGATGCCATGGATTCAAAATTACGACCGGGACAGGCAGGCTGGCTAGCTTCAGGAGGTACAAGTCATGTGCAGATCAAATTGCAACGCTACGCTACACATCATCATAGAACAGAGCATGGAATGGCAGTCAACCCAACTCTACCTCAACTTCATCGATTTTTAAAGGCCTTCAATAGTGTCGACCGAGAAGTAATTTGGCAGGCAACTGCTTCAATACTACGGAATACCGCAAACCTTTGTCAGCCTCATTCAACAACTATACGAAGACGCCATATGCCAAGTAATTAACAATAGGAAGCTCAGTGATGCTTTTGAAGTGAAGACAGGAGTTAAACAAGGTTGCCTACTATCACCCATGATATTCCTGATAGTGGTCGGCTGGATCATGCAACAAACAGTAAGGAGCGAGAAGAGGAGGATAAGCTGGACCACACAAAAGAACCTAGAAGATTTGGATTTCGCAGATGACTTGTGTCTGATGTCACACAAACTTGAAGATCTACAGGCGAAAACTAACAAGTTGGCAGAAGAGGCGAGGCAGCAAAGACGGGACTTCAGGTGAACGTAGAGAAGACAGAGGTGATGAAGACACTGCACCACCACCAACAACAAGCTCCAATCATCATCAACGGGAGAAACTTAAAGGAAGTAACCTCCTTCACCGATCCAGGAATCACTGTTTCTGCTTCTGTATGGTTGAGAGATTTGGTGCGTTACGAAAGGGATTTCCAATAAACTACAGACATTCATCAACAACTGCTTACGCTCGCTACTAAAGATCAGATGGCCAGAAATGATAAGCAACAAGGAATTCTGGGAACGAACCAACCGAGAACCTGTCGCTCAACAAATATGCACTGGAAGGAAGTGGAGATGGATTGGGCATACACTGAGAAGGCCGACTGGGGACATCACGCGTCAGGCCCTCGAGTGGAATCCTCATGGGAAGCGACTAGTTGGGCGTCCGAGGTGAGGGTGACATGGAGGAGATCGTGCGAAGAGGAAATGACAGCTTGTGGGCTGTCGTGGAGCCGGGTTCAAAAGATTGTAGAGAACAGAGTGGAATGGAGACGTGCTACTGAAGCCATTAGGAACCCAAGGGACTATTAATAAAATAATGATAATAATACTTGGTAAAGCTCTTAGCTGAATGTTATAGATAATTTATTTTGCCGAGAGATACCTCCTCAAACTTGACATCCTTTACAATATCTCCACTTAGATTAACATTGTATTTCAGTCTCAAAATGTCACTGTTAAGGAATTGTTAGAATCATTTTTTTGTTAGTGATTTCCCCAATTAAAAATCTAAAGATTTCTAATTGTATAATCGGCTTACACATCTAATTTTTCATATTTCAGGGATTGCTGGTTGCATTTCCAGAACAGTAACGGCTCCATTGGATCGAATCAAATTAACGTGGCAAGCACTAGGAAGTAAAGCTTCTGAGGTAGGACTTTTAGGTACAGTCAACAAAATGGTCAAAGAAGGTGGAGTAACGTCATTATGGCGTGGAAATGGTGTTAACTGCTTGAAAATTGCTCCAGAGTCGGCAATTAAATTTCAAGCCTATGAAGTTTACAAACATTGGTTTAGCGAAAGTTTGGACAATAATCCAGATGATAGTCTAAAATTACATACAAAATTTTTATCTGGTGCATTGGCTGGTGCAACTTCTCAAACTATTATTTATCCTATGGAGGTATGTTCAGTTTTACTGAATTATCATCGTTGATTGATGTTACTTTCAAATTATCAGTGTCGTTAGGGTGAAATATACATCGATTTCATCTTACTCCATAATGTTGTTACTCATGGCTAGTTCGTTTGGTATGTAATATCCAAATGACGTATCACTATCTACTATGTTTTCATTCTCGAATCATATACATGCAGTAGACACTGCGTGTTGCTGATAGAATGTGAGGTGTTTGTTTAAGCGTACACTGTGTATATTCCATCGGTGAGGAATAGGTTCTAGTTTTGTCAGTTAATGTAACTGAATAAAGCTTGATAGCGACCTTGGCTACTGTGCGATTAAGACTTAGTTTCAGCGATTGGTTTTTTCGTATTATTCCTATTTATCATCATTATCTCCTTTTCGGCTGTACAATTATTTATCGTGGAGTCTCTGTGAATAGAACGATGATTTATAACACATCAACGAAGCCGAATAACCAAATAGCTTTTTGTGACCTAAGAAATTACACTTGACCTTTCCACCGATATTTGTAACTGACACTTAATGGTCAACAAAGTCATTCAGAAATACAATACAAGACACTTATCTTTGTGTATAAGTATAATAATAATAATTCTTTACAATTTGTGTCCGACTATACTGTTACTCATGTAAGAATTGTGATGACGTCTGATCAGTTAAATCAAGTTATTAGTTTCTATTAGTGACCTTGTACTAAGTTCTAAACCTCAGAATCGACTCCATAATAGGGGAGGGAAATGTCAACAGTAGCTTTTTCATGATATCCAACTGCATATATGAATTGATACATTGTTCATACCTTCGAAATCTTGGCTCTAATGATCATCATTTGATTCGAAATCAAGAGTTTTTGACTCCACTAAGAACTGAATGTATAATGTGAAGTCGTTTCATTGGTTACTACTTGAGGAAGAGAAATATCGTTAGTGAGAATGATCCACTAACTATATTATTGTATTGGCACATTTATACCTTAATGCTTCATCGTAATGTAGTTAACACCACGATATTGTTGTTTTTTACTTTATGGATGTTGTGTTGAAATTTGTTTCAATGAAGTGAAGTGGAAATCTGGTCAGCAGTTAGACCTCATTGGTGAATTGATAGAGCACTGGCCGGTAACCCGGTGGTCGATGGTTCGAGTCCGTCCGCAGTCCATATTTTCATTTCACCTTCAATCATCACCCAGTATGAAAGCCTAACTTTTGAAGCGTTATACTTCAATATTTCACCACTAGTAAATTCTATGCCTGTAGTCTTTGGCCTTAAAAAATGACAAATCATTAGTATTTTATTAATAAACGTTTATGTCTCTTACTCTTTTTATATGGTGTTTGATTCACCTTTATTTCATAGGTGTTAAAAACACGAATGTGCTTACGTAAAAGTGGACAGTATTCATCAATATTTGACTGTGCTCAGAAGCTCTATCAATGTAATGGTTTTAGTATATTCTATCGAGGTTATGTACCTAATATATTGGGTATTTTACCATATGCTGGGATAGAATTAGCTATGTTTGAAACATTCAAACAGACATATTCAAAAATTGTCATCTCAAAGGATGAAAAATCTGCAAATGCACCTCCACCAGTGTATGTATCTGTAGTAGCCGGTGCTCTTTCATCATTATGCGGTCAACTGGGCACTTATCCATTGGCGCTGGTGCGTACAAAACTTCAAGCGCAAACAGCCTCAGAAAAAGTTGGTTTTGCAGTTGAATTCAATTCTTTATTATCTATATAACTTAAGGGTTGTTGCTTATTTAATTATTTCTTTTTAACTTCAGGTGCATGCTTTTTGGATGGTTATCATAATTTAAGGTAACTATCCTTGTAAATTTTGACTTGCCTAGGCTCTTGGTTCGCCATTAGAACTTCAGAAGACTCATGTAAATGTCAGGATTGAATGTTTGTTCATTTTATTAGTTTTGTGAGATGGTAGTGTGATTTTCCAATATTTCTAATCACTTAGGAAACTGTTGAACAACAGAGATATCTGTTTGATTTTTAGCTCTGTAGTCGTCAGTTGCGCGCAACTATAAGCTCTAACTGAACGGAACCTAAGATAGCCTTCGGAATTTTGTAATACACTTTTATTTCATGACCCCACACTGTTTACTTAGTTCAGGTACATGAATTTGTTGCTCAAAACTGTCATATTATCGTAAACGCTTCTCATTCAATAATCACATTATACTTTATGAACGGCTGGAACGTGTTTTGAACCACCTCCTACCTTGAGGTTCCATGTTAGGACAAAAGAGTTCAGGGTAGCCGGACCAAGACGTGGTATCAGTCCATGATGTCACCTGCTGTTGGTCTGAGCCGTGTAGGGAGATACAGACTGCCTGGTTGGGGTTCCCGGAAAGAAAGAAATCAGGGGTTGAGGAATTTCGTTAACATGACTGACAATCAGTCACAATGGCGCAGATGTATACACTCCTTGACATCTCCTGATTGTTGAGTATTTGGACTAACCGTTATCTTCAGATTGTTTATTCTCTGACACTACTTTGATATCACTTTTTCTATCCACCTGTTATTTGTGTAGTGTTTTAAAGTGTGACAACTTGAGCGGAAGAACTTGTGTGGAAGGTTCTGCGTTGACTTTGTGTGTCTGGAACATAAATGCAACCAAATAACTATGGTCCTCCTAACTTCGTTATCTTCAGCGCTTAAATCTTGGCTGTATATCGAAACAAAACTGATTTTTGAACCGTGTACTCATGGTCTGATCAACCCTTAAATATTGTGCCAGGATTATAGATGATCTATGTTTGGACTACTTAAGCTTACAGTGTCCTTACCAATCCATCAATGTAATGAAACTCCCTAGGTAAAATCAATGAGTGCTGTCGTCGTTAGCCACTTCGCTTTCTTTTATTAAACCAAGCACTGAGTTCATCTGCTTACCTTTAATTAGTGCATGTCTTATGTGCACTAAGAATTCCAATTTTAAGTACTTTCGTTCTAGACTGTGCTTTGAAATTCACTCAGAATAAATAATACTGTGCAATATTATTTTTAAGAAACGGTATGATTTTTTGAATCACTTTGATAGTCATTTTAGGTCATGTAAAGAAAACAAATTTATTAATTTTCTTTTTCTCTTCTCTATCATAGACTGCATTAATAAAAGTTGTAAAGAATATTGTAGAGCATGAAGGTGTAACTGGATTATTTAGAGGCTTAGGTCCAAATATTCTCAAAGTTCTTCCAGCTGTCAGTGTTTCATATGCGTGTTATGATCAGATTAAAGCATTTCTAAATGTCTCAAAATAACCGCAACAATGTATGTTTTTAAAAAGTACACACAACCTATCAGCTGATTAACTCTTGTTTGTTTGCATGTTTGTATTCCTATCAGAAAATTGCCTATTTACATATTTGATCTTTACTATTATTATTATTGTTATTATCATAATCCATATTGGCCGTTGGTCTGCAAAGAGTGCTATGCTTTTTTTGGGCTGCTTTAAGGGCCACTCTAGCAATGATTGAAATAACCAATTAGGTTTCTTCATTCTGACTGGAAAGGCAGATTTTCATAAGATGGGGAAGTTTGATCGGTTATTTCAGTTGTAGCTAGGGTAGCCTTTGAAGTCATCCCTTTTTTCACTCCTTTCATGCTCGCATATTTTCTTTATTTTTCCTTATAAATGTATCAGGCATATTATATTGAGAGGTACTTATCTTAAATTTATTTGTAACTTCTTTTTTCTTTATTATCTATTGGTGTATTATTATTTCTGACTTGAGATGATTTCGGTTTCTTTGTTTTTCGTTGACTTTGCAGTGTGTTTTACACAAACATTGTGGTTGACAAGATTCCAATATATTTCTTTAATATCTTCATATTTTCCAGATTTATGTGTTTACTCAAGCAAATCTGTCAGTATTTTTTGTTAAATACAATTCTTATGCTTCATTTTCGGACGTGTGTACAATGCTTATGCTTCTTTTTTTATGAAAGGTTACAATATACTTCCTGTTGTACACATGGTGATCTCTCTGCACACACCTCTACCTGTATTATGATGAATTGAACTGTGTCATTTTAATCAGAACTGTGGATCGAATACTAACATCATCATGCTTATTACTTCGACTATTACGTGTCTTGCATGCGTTCGATAACTTAGCCTTATTTGACTGTATTTTGTATAAAATCATTTTTTTTCTTTAGTTCAAAAAAGTGATATAGTGATAATAAGTGATGATGAAGACTGCTGAATCCTTTCCTTTACTCCAATAGTCGGTATTATTATTCGTGGTGCAGGTGTGGAGCCATGCCTCATTGGTTTAGACAATTGACTTCCAGTGAAGAGGTTATAATCTTTGAGCCCAGTTTCACCCACCGAGGATTGGCTAGTATTTAAGTAGTATAGTATCGTTAGTTCTCACGCAACAAGTGTGACTCATTACTTAGTACATGAATATACACGTGGCTATTCAGAATGGTACAAGTATTCACTCGTAAATTATGATTGAAGATTTTCGTAAACATATAATATCTGTAGCATCCAATACTCTCATGGTTCATGTGGAATTGTTGTGTTTCAGGGGCGATTTATCTCCACGAGTTACCATTATTACTTCACCTATCTATTTTTGCATAAACATCCTAGTATTTACTGACTTTTGATCTGAATCACATAGGGATATTCAAACTTTTCAACTTTTGACGTGTCTCTGAAATGTTAAAAATCGGTACGTGAAAACTATGGATGTTGAAATCGTTAATGGTAACATGTTGATATATCAATTTTTCAAATCTTTTTCTAAAGCTCGAATACCTCGCTACTATGTGGTCGGTTTGCAACCACTCTAGGATTTTCCTGAACGTCACTATCAGCCATCTAGGTTATCTTGCTAAAGTTATGGAGATACGATGAACTTATCATTGGAGGGCCATGATTACATTACCCAGCTTGGACTTGTTGGCTCAGGTGTGCTCAATCTTCATCATTTTCAGGACATTTAAAATCTTGTTTATGTTTCCACTTTCTCATCCTTTTGATGATGTGTTCTCTGAGCTGAAAGTTTAATCGTGAAGCCTTCATTATCATCCTGGACGACATCATCAGCATAAACTTCAGAAAGCAATGAGCTATGGAGAGTTCTCCACAAGTGGCTTAGTACCTTGTCCTGATAGCCTCGTGTGTGATTGGTCGTTTCTGCGAAAGTCTTCTCATTGTCTCCAAATTTATTTCTATTGGTTTACCTCCTGATGTGAATTTTGACCTTCTTGTTATATCTTATTGGTTGGCCGTTAAAAGTAGAAGACACGGAGCGACCACTGAATTTTAGTCACAGATGTCTTCGTAGCATTGCTCGCGTTTGGTGGAATAACTGTGTGGACGACGCTGAGGTCAAGCGAAGGGTACTGGGCAAGTCGATTGATGAGGTTGTGAACCTTCATCGACTGAGATAGCTTTGACTTGTACTGCGTATGCCTAGTCACCGCCCACCTTGACGTGCCATGCTAGGGAAAGTTAGATTAGGTTGGGAGAGGATTCAGGTTGGCCAGTCCATGTTTTTTTTACTGTTGATCTGAGCCATGTGAGGAGATGTAGACTGCCTGACTGGTGTTTCGAAAAAGAATGAAATCAGTGGTTGAGGAATTTTGTTAACGTGGCTGACAATCAGTCACAATGGCGCAGATGTATACACTCCTTGACATCTCCTGACTGTTGAGTATTTGGACTAACCGTTATCTTCAGATTGTTTATTCTCTGACACTACTTTGATATCACTTTTTCTATCCACCTGTTATTTGTGTAGTGTTTTAAAGTGTGACAACTTGAGGCGATTCACCTGTGTGCGAGGTTTTACGTTGCCTTTGTCAGTCAGACAGGTTACGTCATTGTCAATTTCTTTGTCAATCGCTGACTAGTCTGAGTTGTGTGCAGTCAACTGATCATTACCTTCCAATGAAAGAGCATGAGACAATAATCAACGGATTCTTAGAAAGCTTTTAGAATTAGTTACGAAATTCTACATAAATTTTCTTTAAAATAACTACAATATTCCCAACTAAATTACACATTCCCCCCTTCGTTTTCGCTGTAACCCATTCAGTGGAATACAAACTTCCTAATCATCTAAAGAACGCTATATCATTTCTTGAGCGTAATACTTTTCTAATAATATGTTGTTTAACGACATTTCAATGTAGTTTCCACGGTGGCTTGCTTGAACCTTGAGCTAGGAAAATTTTCCACGGAAGATTTAGATCGAATATCTTTTTTAAAACTTGCTTTAGTCATTTAAATATATTCTCTGAAGGTTTCTTGTGCTCTGGTACATTTTTAAAATGTTTCAGTTAGCCGCTTCTCGAGATAAAAAAAGAAGAGATGATGTGTTAGATTGAAATGAGCTTTTCAGTGCCCCAAACACATATTTTTATCCCTCGGATACTTAGCTCAAATTTCAGATTATTATACTGGCTGAATGGCCAGCCACCGCCAAATTTACTTTCGCTTTTCTGTCAGGTTTTCTTTCCAGACCGAATGCTTATCCGATATAAGCTGGTTGTTTAATATTATTGCCTTTAATACTGTTTTTTATCAATATCACTCAGATGCAATAATTGTTTCGTTTGAAAATATTGTTCTAGGAGTGACTCTGTTAATACATTACATGCTGGGAACTCCATACTGTATCATGCGTATTATTTGGAATGAAGTGATTATTATTAACGTGAGTAGATTGCCGTTGAGATATGAAGTGTTTGATTAGGTAATCTCAAGTTGGCATGCAACATGCTTTCCAATTCTGCCTGCCGTTTGTCAATAAATGTTAGTTTTTCAGTCAAAATCATCGTTTACACCTTGATTACATCAGCTTAGGTGCTTAAGAATGCTCTTCGAAAGATACTCGTACGATAGAATATCTCTTAGTAATAGCAAACTCAATATGATGCCTAAATTTATACAATGTCCACAGTTGTGAAATAATTATCTATCCTATAACAATACACTGATCTGTTTCATGTATTCACCGTTACATTCATCGAAGTCGAAAATGCAGACTGTACGATTCTAATCTGGTGTTTTCAAGGTATACTATTCTTCATCGGGAGATCTTAACGTCCTGTGCTAGGTTTCTAAACCAAGAAAGAGCAGATGTTCAGCACTCCTGCTTTTTCAGTGGTCCTTCAGTCGGTACAACCTTAATCTCTCACGTAGATTGAGAGAATTTTAAAGCTTAGTCAATGAAAAGCTGAAGGCATAAACAAATTCTGACAGATTTTCAATCTGATGCCTAATGAATGCTTTCAATCACTTCATTGCTTCTAGAAAAGTCATTAAAAATGCCACTGTTTAGTAGGAAAACATTAATTGTATGGCAACAATTTATAGATAAGGATCTAAAGTCATAAAACATGACAGAACGCTTGCATACTGCTCCGAAAAAGCCTATACTTTTGAATCTCAAATTGAAGGGGAATAATGTGGTAGATATGCGTAGCAAGCGATAATCAGGATCCATAAACAATATCTGTTGCCAGCTTTAGAATCATTTTTTCCTGTCAAAAACTCATTCGTCAGTAGGTGAAGAATTAGCTCGAGCATTGGGCCTCATCAGTTAGTATGTATCAGTTTACTTGCCTCTGTGGAGCTGAGTACATCGGCCGTATCACGCAAACACTATCCAGCCTGGATGACAAGAGGGAAATGGAAATATATCTTCTACTGTGCAACAGAGCACTTGGTTCCTTTTGTTAGTTCCTTCAAAATTTCGCACAAAGTATGACCAAGCCGCTCGAGAAGAGTAAGGTTAAGGTAAATGCGTATAGCTGAAGAATTATCAATTCACAGGTTCCAACCGTCATTTTGCGTTCAGAAAAAGTACGTACAACCTCTTTGTTTTCCATGGCCATCGTAGGAGATCGATCACCTTATAACGAGCTATATTTTATCTCGTAGTCATATCCCCCCTTTAAACACCCATCAATATTGCGTAACTTTCCTTTGTCGCATAATTTATTTTGATCTCTGACCGGAAATTATTCTGGAGTCTTCTATCTTTTCTATTGAGACTCGAACCCAGTCCCCATGAATAATTCTTGTTTCTAATCTGATAGGTATATTGTAATCTGGAATTCAGAAAGGCATACACTTTGAAAATGACAGGCCATTCTGTACAGCCAGTCAGTGTTTGTAGCGTAAGAGTTTCTATGAGTTCCTCTACTTGAAATGCCACTGAAAGTCACTGTGTCAAGGAAAACTGCTGAGAAGGTATCAAAGATCAAGACAGCAAAGGTAGATCAGGAGAAAAATTGGAAGAGGAAGGTAAGCTACTCTATGTACAATATATAAAGCCCTTCAGCAAATGCCTCGTGACTCTGGAATGACATTTTTGAGAGGATTGTAGAGGAAGCCAGAAGGCTTCTATTGTATACGTTAAACGCTTACACTCGATTATTGTCTAGTATATCCGGATTGAAGACTAAATTTATTCTAGTGGATTGTATGACTTAAACAAAAAATCATTGAAAGAATTGAATCTAGGTAGCCCATTCAATTTATTCAAAAGACAGTTTGCATGTGGTAGTGTAAAGCTATCACTCATTTCTTGTTTATTCAGCAATTCTATCATTATCATTATTGGCCTTAATAATAATGATAGTGAAATACATCTTTGTTAGAAAAAATATACAGCCTTACAGTGATTTTCTTCTGGTTATGATAGTACTCATTTCACTACTATTTTCTTTGTTATCATCGGTTAATAGACAATGATGAAGATGACTTAGAAGAAATGAAATAACTCTGTTCGACTGATGTGCAATTAGGCTTTACAAAATCAATTAGAAAACGCATTATTTTAATAGCTGTCTGCATTAAGTTATCAAATTTTGTATGATGTCTTATTTCATTATTCAATCGATTTTCATCCATCTTCGTTGTTGTGGTTATTGTTGTTGTTCTTGGTGATGATGTCGGCAATACCGATAGTGATGAGGATTGATGATATATATAGTGTTTTGATTGTTTTTGACATAACCAATTCAAAATACGTTGTATCAGTAGACTTTCTGTTGCTTCAGACATTGGTTGTAAATTGATTATTAATCTTGCGAATAAGCTCATTAAACAAACGACCGGCTACAAAGGTTCAATAAGACATAAGAAAAAGCGCAATATATATATATATATATATATATATATATATATATATATATACTGGCAGAGGTAGCTAAATTAAATGGCTATCCCTTTGTTATCTCTTGTACTCACTGGGATGTAGGTACATCCAGCTGACGAGTCCCAAATAGGATGAAAGAGGCTTCCTGGATTCCTCTGCTAGCCACAACCAAGTAAATACCTCTTTGTTAATTGTGAAACAACAATGGTTAAACATTATTTTAGAAAAGGTACTGACCACTCCACTGTTGGAGCTAGGAATCCCAGTTAGTTTCAATTTCACTTTGAGCATGGGGTAAATTACTTTTTTTCAATATTGATTTGAAAAACAACTTACGACCACTTTACTTGCTTAGTTAGGCTTTCACAATCTGTATTTGTATGGACTACTAAAAGAGAATACTAAATTGATTGAGAATTCGACGTTACATGAGTTAATTACACACCTTTTAGTCATCATTTCAATGAAGTGGAAAGGTTGAGACAGTAATATTGACGTTGGGTGTAAATTCCTAGGCGAAGCTATCGCAAACAGTCTTCCTTCCAAGGAAGGGATATACGGAACAAATATCTAGCTACTCTCTGTCCTCATATATAAAACTAACTATAGCAACTTCTGGTCCGACTAACTCTGACACCAACACATTTTAAAAGTCATTTGAATGACCAAAGAATACTCTTTTGGATTACTTTTTCTTCAGGTCCTACAGTTATATGTACATATTCAGTAACTTTACATCAGTAATATTGAGATTTCATTTAGCAGTTTATCAAGAATACTATGAGTTTGAGGAAATCATTTCGGAGAAGTCTTATGTGATCGTTAATGTCAGAATCAAGTATTACCGGAATTCGATTCAAAATGGTTGATTATCCATACGCTCAAACGGCTTACGTAATACTACATAGCGATATTTTTTTAGAGTTATTGGTTGTATGACACCGTCGTTGATTGGACCGAATTGATCAGTCTCTGTTGGCATATGGGCTCCTGTGAGGCAGGTACATCCAGCTGACGAGTCCTAAATAGGACGAAATGCGCATCCTGGATTCCACTGCTAGCCACTGCCTATCATTACTATACATAGTGATAGTTTAATAAACAGAGGGTGTGTACGGAAGTAGGATGCAATAAACAAAGATAGATAATTTAAGGAACAATAGCTTAATGCAATGTTATTCATCCTAGGGAACAAAGCAGGCTACGAGAATTCGATAAAATTATTTCAGATTTATAAGGATGAGGGAATATTTACAATGCGGAGGTTGGAAGTTAGGTTGCATGGGGTTGGATTCTAAGAAATGAGTTCCGAATGGGGCCACGGTAGATGTAGTAGCAGCACCCGGCTTTTCTGAACAGATAACTCAGGTTGTTTAATACTGGTGACGTGCTGCCCATGAAACCTGAAGGTCACAGGTTCGGTCCCTGGCGTGGTTGTGGGTACGTACTGCTGAGAAGTCCCATACTAGGATGAAACAGCTGTCTGGTGCTCTTAGGTTTCCAATGTTCGTCTACTTGGTGTCAGTCCATGATGAGTACCAACTTCAAAATTAATCCTGATTGCCATTGATTCCTCAGTTTGAAGGATTCTGAGTCAGAAGCTTTTTGACAAGTTGATGGGAACCGAGTATACGTTAAAAAATGGCTTATTCATATCCTCCGTATAGTTCGTTTAAGCTACCTGCGCTAATATGAAGCTTTTAATGGTCTTTATCACATTTTTGCTTAACAATCCACCGACATGTTCGTGAGCACTGAAAATTAAATTCCTAAAGTAGTGGCCAACGTATCTGGTTCTACAACAGCAGCCCAAGTGATAAACAGCAGAAAGTAGTCAATCTAGGCAATTCATCTCTCAGTCTCGGTGTCATTATCGGTCATGTGACAAACATAATTTATAATATACTGGTATAAAAAGTTCTGTGAATTGATCTGGACAGTTTGTGACATGATATCTTGCTGTGCACGTCACATGCAGATTGTACTCGAATGTGTAGGCCTTTTCTCTTAGCCGTTGGAATGTCTTTCCTTGTTGCTTTTGTGAAAATATGCTTTTATGACTACTGGGATATCCATTTTTGATAAGCACTTTGCGTAAAGTCATCAGTTCCTCCGCAGTTGTATTTTTCGAGCATATACCTCTTATCTTCTAACTTAGAGTCTTTATCAGATCTCTTTATTACTGACGTGGAACGTAGTTTTCCTCAACAACTTAATCTTAAGCATCCCATCCGTTTGTCTTAAGAAAAGAATATCAAGAAAAGCTGTTTTGCCTTCTGACTCTTCCTCACACGTAAATTTCATCGCTGGGTGTACTGCACTGAATCTGCTAAGTACCTTTGACCTACCCATGTTTTTCATCACAGAAGATGAACTTATCATCCGAATATCGACAGTAAAATGAAACTTCTCTGATTACCCAAGCAAGCAGTGAAGACTCACTGTTTAAGACTCAAAAGTGTTGAAAATCATTCCTTGTCAAAACAAGATTACACTAGTCAAAATCAACGATAGTATTGAATATGGATCCTATATTCTCATTAAGACTAGGATTTAAGTGGCATTCAAACCAACAAACTCGTTTGGAAACAAGCTTTTAAGGCTAAAAGATGCAATTAAGCTAAATAATTTGGTTTACCAAATCCCTTGCAATGATTGCAAGGTCAAATACATAGGTCAAAGTAGTCGACCAGGAGCAATCAGAATAATAGAACATAAACTTATATAGTTCAAAGTTAGTAGATCCGAATAAGATAAGAAATTTAGAAAAAGGCTCGGCTACAGCTCTGCACGCAATTACACAATCACACCGTATGGTGGGATAGAGCGATAGTGTTAAAAACTTAGTTGAGTGGAGGAGAGATTGGTAACCGAACTTTTGTTTATCGAAAAAACACCAGTTACATGCAACAGAAATGATTCTGCACCTGTCCCAGATATAGAGAAAAATTCTATTACCGTTGTCAGTATAAAGAAGGAGAGAGAATTAGGACTATATAAACTCTATCTCAAAGTTATGGAATTACCTAACATGAATATGGACAGTAAATTTTATCCGAAATGTTATCCAGTAAATGATACTGTATGACATTTCTATTTTGACTGTTTTCTAAATATTTACGTCCTTTTCCTATCCACTTATGTCCATCTTCTTGCATGTTTTAATGATATCTTAATACTATGTGGTCATTCTCCTTATGCATACTTTCAAGAATTTCAGTATATCACACAAACTTTGTTTATTACCTCAATATATCCTGTCTTTTCCTGTACTATAATATGACTGATATGTTCTCCAACCAGAAGATTATACTTTGAAGTGTTATAATTAAAATAAAATTGCATATTTTGAACGCTTTCGACAAAACTTCTTTTTAATTAACTAATAAAGTCTTCTAGTTTCAAATTATTTGCTTGCGTACAGGTGCTAAGAAGTATACTTGAACCAACAGACTGGTGAGGTCCAACTTAAATACCTTGATAAAGAAGTGTATTTCCTGTCAGTTATATGTACTATTTGAATACCGTAGGAGATTATTAATTTCCGTTTCCCGATCACGTTTAAAAATGATTAGTTATCAAGATTGTGTAAATACGTACATGGTTTATTGATATTAGAATGCTGTTCATTATCATTTTTAAATCCCTGTATTTAGAATTCAGTTCTCATGGCCATTGTTGTTCTAAAATGCTCCTTTTAGGAAATTTCTATATATTGTGATAAAACTTCGTTAGAAGTTATCGAAATGGCATAGTTGCATATCCTACATCTTACAGTTATAACAATGAAATATCCATAAACCAATGAACAGTCGATTAATAATGAATAATACTTCGTTGGCAAACAAAGGAACCCATTATTCAATAGTCTACCAGATAACATTGTAGTGCTCAAAGTAATGAAGTATTCAGTGTTAATGAGATGTCTATCACATATGGATAGAAATAATGTTTGACAAAAAGCAGCAAAATAGAAATCAACATTTTAATTCATCAGCTGCTAAGGTAGAAGTTTTGGATTTTAATTTTCGTTCCATGCTACTGCGTGGTCAGGCAAAACCTCATTGGACAATTTACGCTACAGTCGACCAATCAAAACAAGTGCTTATTTTTTGACCTTGCGGCTCTATATGTTCATAAAAACCGTATGTAAATAACATATTTTTGTCCAATAAAGTGTCTTCCTTAGAGTCACAGGTCGATCTTTGCCTTCTGATTTTTGTGATTTAGTGAATAATAAGGTACTGAAGAAGAACAATCGCTATTCGTATCCAGTCCAAGTGTCCCATCACGTTAAATATCGTTCGGGTATTTATTATTATTTGCTCGGTCAGTTTAATGCTACATACATCACATCTAGCATGTTTGTACCAAACCAATTTTACCTGATTATGACCTTGGTAAGATGGCGTAGACTGCAATATTTGAACATTTACGAAAATTGCTACAAAGATTTTATTGATGACTGAGTTCAAAAGAAAGAGTTTCCAGGAGCTAACAGTCACAACGCTTGTTCATCATCATCATCATCAAATGGCTTATCAAGCAGGCCTTTGTTGAAGTGTTCCACATAATGCTCAGTTTTTGTTAACTTTGCTAAAGTTGCTGGTTCGGAATGAAAATAATGGTTGAAATGATCAAGTTCACAGTCAAGACGGCTGTACTCTGGTTTTCCCATATTATATACAGTAAAATAAAATCTCACGTCTAGCTGTTATTACACTACTTGTGTAGTCATGTAGTTCTCATTTCATATTTAGGTAACGCTTGGTTGATATGAATATATATTGGTGACTAATAACGTAGAAGTTGATGTAAGGATAGGCATACGTTGAATCTCGAGGACAAAACACAACTGATAATGTAACCCTGGTAGTCTTTAGCAAGCTAGCGATGATAACCTGATAATACAACACAGCTATCTGAATAGGTAATTTGAATGGAGGAAAACTTTATTACTTGAAAAAAAATACACTTAAGAGGTTTCACCTGCTATTGTGTGGTTATTACTGTTACCAACAAGGTTCAAGAAAATCCTCTATTACTATCGAGTATAATCGTTTATGCGTTTTGTTGGATAACAATAATCCTACTGCATATTGTATAGTAAGTGAAATTAATAAACTTCATGTAGTGCGACAGAATAGAGGAATAAAGCTAGAAAGATATTCTCGTAAGAACGCTGTAGTATTGATTTATAACTGCCGGTGTTCTGTGTTTTGAAGGCATAAGTGGTTAAATGGGACTTTTGGACAGGAAGATAAAAGATCAGGATGGCAGTCAATCTATCTATTAACAGGTATTTAGAGTATTCTGCATTGGAGTAGGCTGTAGTTTGGCACGGGTAACATAGGTTACAACCACCTCAGTTGATGCAGTTTTCGGAAACTGACCAACTAACTTATCGAAAAAGAGATACAAATGAATATTTATGTTAGCAGTACAGATACACTTGCTGTGTATTTTATTCTAAATCTTCAACCTTTTATTATTCTTCGTTATAATCTATACGATGGTGGTTAGTATATAGTAGAATTCAGAAGGCGCTTTTCGTCCTACTTAGAAAGCGTCAGATGGGTGTTCCAGCTGAGACGAACCCAATACTCATCACTTCAAACACCAAAGCGTTGTTGACTAGATCTCTGAGGCACGAGAGTCACCACTTTTGCACTTAATTTCCATCTTAAACTATTTTCATTCTTCATATGATCTGTACCCATTGTTATTTACTAAAATCAGTATTCTTGTTTTCTTTTCTCTGGTACTGTTATAGTCAGGTAGTCTGTGGTTTCTAACATGTTATTTATTTAATGAAAAATATTTTTACAAAATGTAATCACTACTCATTCAAAGAAAATATTCATTCATCCACTTTCATAGCTGCATATTTATAAGTAATGAGAAGCTAGAGGGAATTGTAACGCTGCAATGCTACCAGTTTACAGAATGATACATATCTGAAGACGATTCTCGAGTAACAAAGAAGTAAAGCGAAACAAACTTAAAACGTCGGTCAATTTGTGCGTGGTTTGTTGTAGCCTCAAAATCCAGACATGATGATATAACAAATTCAAACACCACCAAACACTCCATTAGTTAAAGTTGTCAAACTTCATGACATCACAGAACAAACCAACCAGTAGCAATAAAAGGTTTATACATGAAACAGGTGGGATATAAGTGAAGAAGAGTAGAAAAGTAGTGAGTAACAAAACACTCAAGGTTTTGATGTAAATGAGTACATTCACCGGAGCTTTGTACCAAAACTATAACCATTTCACCTGGATTTCTAAGCAGTTGAGATGGATGGTTTGTTAGATGTTTTAGACAATTAACTTGATGTAAGCTGATAGCACATTGGCTGACTGAATGAACTTCTTTGTCTAAGACTCTTTGGTTAATTTCTATATCACTGACTGTATAGTTCCACTGACGATTCACCTTCAACAACGATCTGCTGTAAAGCTTACTAGCAGATTGACGTATAATAATAAAAAAATAAGTTGAACAGCAGAAAAGATTTGTCACTGGAGAGTGACCAACTTCGTGTTGTCTATTTCTAAGTGCCGATCGAATTCTATCGATCATTTTGGACTGTGGCCACCAGGTGAGTTGACTCAAAATCGCGATGCACTTTAGTAGATAGGTAAGACATTAGCTCCTTAAAGGTTATAGGTACGCCTTGTTCACGAGTCCGAAAAGGCACGAAACCTAGATCTAGGGCTTCCTGTCGATTGCTTCCATCCACACATAGAAACTAGCGAGAAAGCGCGTCATTTCAAGTTGCCGCATTTTACAGGAAAATACAAACAAGAAAAGGATGAAAATAGAATAACAGAGAAGTAGACATTAGTACATGAAATGAGAGAGAATGTAAACATGAAGCCTGATGAGAATATTCAAGAGTTTGAAGGTTACATAGAGTTTTTATATCTTCATCGTTGTCATCGATTTTGAGAAACAGCACCAACAGCATCAAACCACTGATTCGTATCGTCTTGGGGACCTCAGTCATAATACTGAATATCCTAGATCAACTGTGAGAAAATTCATAGACTTAAGCAACGTTTCGGTCCGGCCATGTTTTAGTTTCTTCTGACCCAGTCAACTTTCAGCTAACATGACCAGTCAAGATGAGTCATGGTACAGGATGTACAACACGTGTACCAGCCATTTCAGTCAGTCAAAGTTCACAACCTTATCAAATGATTTTCCTTTTTTGCCTAAGACTTTGCTTCGAACTTCTACATTGCTCAAACTCAGATTTCAGTAAACACAAGCAATGCTAAGCATACTCATCATCGTTAGTGGATTTCACAGACAAAGAACATGACTACAAGTTTCTTATTAAAAAAATGGATTAACGGATTATTTTGTTGTATAATAGTCAAGAAGTGAATAAACTGTTCTTACATGTTATTAACAGGAGATCACATACGAAAGACTCTACAATTTGCTCGCACTAAAGGATACCAATATTTCGAATAAGTCACAGTATCTTTTGCTTCCACTTACTTTCTCAAGACTTTCAAGAGACTGAAGGATATCTTCTTCAAATAAAGGGTTTTGTTGTAAGCTGAGTAAATCTTGTATTCGAAGCACTGGGCACTACAAGTAAAAATATGCAAACATTGGAAGAAGCAGCACAATAAAATATATCATACACCAATGTGTTGAAGTGAATGTGGAACTGTGGCTTACTGGTCTATGCACCTGAATTCTAAATCACCAGGCCACGGGTTCGAACCCCACTCCGAATTCATTTAAACTAAGCAGCATCTGTTTGTTGCTAGACACAATTAGTGCAAAGTGGTTCAAAAATTCAGGAATAAACTGGAGATACATTCGTCACAACACACAATTAATAATAATAATTGCAATGCTTCCTGGAAAAAAGCAGTATACTAGTATACTTATCCATCAAATTGCGATTGAAAGCATCATAAGCATGATGAAATATCATAACTTTACGGTAGAGGTTCGCATCTGCTACGTAAACTACTGAAAAGCTAAAATTATGGTAACAAGAATGGCATAGAACAGTTCAGTGGTGACATCGCTGGTTGCAGGACTGAGTGACAAGGGTTCCAGTTTCACAAGAGATACCAGTTCCTTCGAAGTTTGAGGTAAACCTCACTGGCAAGTGCTAACAAAGTCAAGGTTCAGAGCTTCCTGTCGATCACCTCCAACAAACAAAAATCTGATCACGTTTTTCAGCTTCTCAATTAGTTTCAAAGTAAATATTTCGACTGCAAATCGAGATGGAGATAGGTGCTGTTGGAAACCGTGCTCTTGCATAAACTCATTGTGTGCTAAAACAAGAGTCAATCTACTTAACAGTCAGTTACTGGACAAAGACGGCCTAAAAGAAGAAAAAGATAGTTGGAAGAAGTCAACAAAATATTTCAAATTAAAGTTTTCTCCATGTTAGTAACTTCAGTGTAAGCTTATGGAACTAAATACTAGTACCTTAGAGGTTAAAGTAATAAAAGTAGTCAGCGTTGTAGGGGATCATCCCCTGCGAGCGGTGTTGAATAACTTTACAGAGTGCTGTAAGTGTGTGTAATACACTGAGCTCTGTGGAAAGTAATTAAACTGCTTTTATAAAAGTTGGTTTTTATCATGGACTGACATCGGTTGGAGGAACACTGAAAACCTGGGAGCACTGGATAGCTAGTTCTTCCCAGTATGGAACTCTTCAGCAGTGCGCGCCCACGACCCCACCAGGGTTATGTATACCGTTGGGTTCCGACCCAGTGGTAATGTGCTAGCCATGGAACCTAGAGGCCACGAGTTCGACCCCTGGCGGGTCATGGGTGCGCACTGTTGAAGAGTCCCATACTAGGACGAAACAGCTGTTCAGTGCTCCCAGGTTCCCAATGTTGCATCAAATGATATCAGTCCATGATGAAAACCAACTTAAAAAATTTCTCTAAATCCCCACAGTTCCTCAAATTCAATTAAACTGCTTTCATTTTGTTTTGCGTCGACAAAGCAATTTCGATTGCCTGTGCTTCATTTTGCAAAACTTCCATCATAATTCACGTGAATATTCCAAAAAACTACTTATTGGATACAAAATAATTTTAGTTTAAACAAAGAATACTTGAATTTATCTAGGCAGTTGAATTTGTCTAAATAGTGCATCAACAAAATGAAATTGATTTCGTTAACTGTGTTGACCCAATGGAAGGGTTTCGAATAAGTGTCAAGAAATAGTATATACGTGTCTTTTAAGTTTCAGATGAGCTCCACGGATAGGGATAAATGAATGTTTAAGTGAACCTGATGGCTACTATGAATTCGCTTCAAAATGTATCGTACACAAAATAATAATAATATAATTTGATTGTATACGAAACTGAAATTGGCATGAATGTTTAAGGTGGTTAGTGTACTCTCCATCTCCAAATCATTTTGCGGTCAACACATGAACAATACTAACAGGTGTCAGTTTGTCAATTTATTGATTTAAAAAGAGGAATTTAGTGCAATAGTTGTTATTTGCGATAGTAAAATTTCGTTGAAAAGTTTCATATCTTTATCAAAACAGTGTAGAATTGCATTGTAAAATTGATATTTGTAGATCGCCAAACTCATTGTATCCGTTGAATACTTTAAACGAATTATTAAGCTCATATAGAAACTCATAAGATGATATGTATTCACAATTCAGCAACGACCGTTATTTGTATTGGTTAGTTTATAGATCAGGTGTGAAGGTCCAATGTTGTATGGTTATTTACAAAATGTTGAGAGTTTATTAAAGTAGACCTAAGTAAATAACTTGCAATCGACAGTTTCATCTGTGATTGAAGCTATGACTCATTGGTCTTTACAACTGACATTCAACCAATGGGTCACGAGTTTGAAGTTCATTCTACCTACTGAGGTTTGAGCAACCAGTTAGTGCCATAAATTCTGACAATATTGGTATGCTGCGTTACCTACTTCATGTACATGCAAGTAGTTGCTGAAGGAGCTAAGCTGTAGTATTTAGTGAAAATTTGTGAACTGAAAAGAGGTGCAATTGTTTGGGTATCACTAGGATTAGAAAATATATCTTTATACAATAAACAGATCAACGACTGTATGACAAGCACCTTGGTAATAGGTTAGAGTTAATGACTATTCTCTTAGGTCCAACGCTCTATTCCAACCCATATAAGGCGAAAAATGTGAACTTGTATTAAGAATATGCTTTCAGCACATTATATTTATAAATAAAGAAACCGCCAAAAAAGTATGCTCTTTCGTATTAGATTAATTTATTTGATAAAGCATAGAGTGATACAGTATTCTCTATTTAACAACATTTTGAGTGAAATTCGCTTCTGATCACGTCGTTTCACATCGCTCTAATATTATTATGATGTATTCAGCCATGAACTAAATAGTTTAACGGTAAAGTATATGAATTTAGCCATACAATCAGTTTCCTTGCGGTTGAATTTATGCCCTGCTGGATAAGCACTAACAAGTATGAAACCTAGATTCTGCAGAACTGCCTGCCAGTTGAATATCGACATCTTACACCTAAATCAGTTTAAATATTAGCCGTGAGCAGCTATCGAACATGTAATCTTACTGATTACAGACATAAATGCCATCATTGGTGAGTATACAGCAATTATCATTATTATTTGTGTCTTGGGCTCCTAATGGAACATAGGGCTTCAGTAGCACGTCTCCATTACACTCTGTTCTCTGAAATCTTTTGAACCTAGCTCCATGACAGCCCACAAGCTCTCATTTCCTCCTCGCACGATCTCCTCCAAGTCACCTTCTCCTTGGACGCCCAACTCGTCGCTTCCCCTTTGCGTTCCACTCAAGGGCCTGGCACATCGAAGTATACAGCAAAGATACATGAAATTTCGTACAATCCTTCCACTTCATACGCATTAAAACAAAACAAGAAGAGTAGTGATAACAGAAGATGCATGAATTTACTGCACAGATTCTCTACAGCTGCTTACAACATGTAATAGGTATCACATAGTGCATTTAATATGATACCATAATACAACACTGATAACGTACTTTCAAAATAAGCATCAACTACCTATTAAATGAAGCGCCAAAATGCCTACTCAACCATCAAAATCATCTGTTTATATTTGACCAACTATCCACTGAGAAAGTTAAGAGAAGACCAGGGTACTTAACAAGTTCACCTTTATGTACTGAAAAGCAAACATTGAAAAAACAGATAGAACAGTGCTTATTCTCATTTCTGGACATATCCCCAATAATATAAAGCTTATTAGCTTGATGATAAAAACAATCCACTGACATCAACCTTGTGTATGTCTGGCTGTACGGTGGGCAATGAGCCACATATATCATGTGAGGGCTAATGATACTACATGGCTGCCCAAACCGGTTTCTAACGTATCGCCCACAAACTAAATCAACGAGCTACAACTCCACCTGTTGGTGGAATCCAATCAATGACATGTTATAAATAGTGCATTCACTTTGTTTAACTTCATTACTGGAAATCATGTTGATAGATTATAATCGTTTTCAAACTATTAGTAGAGAAATGAAGCAAAATACACAGCACTTCACCGAGGCTGTTGCAGTCAAAAACCTGAAAACTGACCTTCAGAAAAGTGCTGTACTTTATCTTTCGTCAAGTTGACAAGTCTGAATTTTAGAATTTACGGCTATTCAGCTTCTTAATTTCAAGTCACTCCGTTTATGCACTTTTTCACCATTCCCGTGAAAACCTACTCTTGTTTTCTCAGTCCAGTGCATATTATTACATTTGCTAACAAAAATCTGTTAAACTTCGGTTATGATTATTATTTGCAGGATATCACTGTTTATAACCTCTTCTCGAACTCCACTTCTTTCCCTAGCTTTTTTTACAGTCTTCCTATAACCAGTCAACGTTTAGACAGTCTTAACATTTTTACCATCTGCCGCTAACGACAGGAATATATAATCTTGTTATCTTTGACTGACAACCAAAAAGACCTTGAAGCGGCCAATCGAGTTCAAGGTGAATGTGCCATCGTTCTGGGAGGCTCTGAATTATTGAAAGGATTTCACTGAATATAGATAGGTTTTTGCATATTGTTGATGATGGTAACTTCGGCTGAATCGAATGGAATTACTTCAAATATTATCGTCTCTCATTTCTATTTAATTCTGAACCAATTTTATGTGGCTGCATTTCATATTAATTACAAAAAGTAGAACAAAACTTAAGTGATGAAAAACCTGAAAGGATGACCAATCACGTTGTAGATGACACACTCAAGGTATTTGTTGCATCCCTTTACCATGCTGTTGACTCTGTATAAACCTAATGAATTATGATGAATTTTACATTGTCAGATATTTGCAGAGAGCTTGATTTCTGGCGAGAAGCTTAAATTCTGAATATGGTGCTGTAATGGATTGTGTACCCAACAGTGAGGAACTTTTAGGTTTCGTCCTTAGTTGTCCCAGCTCTTACAAAAAGAATTCTACGAGAACAGGATTGTTTTTCAAAGGATATCATCTGGCCCTCTGTAACGCATTCGAAACCTCACTAATTCTCCTTCCAGTTTTGATTTCCAGACCACCTCACCTCTTCGCTGTCAAGCCCTACCGTTTGTTAGTTATCTTTTATTATCAAATGTAGGTAAGCTTTGTATACTTGGTAAGTCGTCGGCTCACATTTTTCTTTTCTTCTTTTCCCTTCAAGATCCTCGTGGTCACTACTGAACTCACACTGCTCTGCGTGCCCCTCTGTAACGAGATACCTACCTACAGGCTAGACGAAAACTTGTCAACAACTGATGGTTACACCTTCACCAAATAATGACTGAGTACCACAACGAATTGTCGGGACATGGGCAATATCAGCAAAAGCTCTGATAGATGTTAGTGAAATTTCTTCAGTGTAGTAGTATCAGCAGTGAAGGGATATTTACTTCGAAAAAAATATGCAGGTTAGATTTTAAGTTTGGTAAAGTAGGTAATGTGTTGGAAACAGAATAATGTCGTTTTCACAAACGCAAATAAAAACAAATAAGAGGACCTTAACAGAGAGGACCAATCACATTTGAGTATGCACTGATCAATCAGAATTGTGCATGTGAAAGACAATGTGATTATGGAGGGAAAGGTTGTTTGTAAATAAAACAACACACGCACACACAACCTAATACGCAATCACAACTCTCAGTTGAACTCCCTACACCACACCATTTGATTTCGTGCATTTTTGCAATACACATTAAGCCATACAGTAGCAGTCAAATAATGAGTAAAACCTCTTTACATCCACAGTGTCGTTTGTTTGCTGTTTTATCATTTAATTTTCATGTTTTGTACTTTGAAACCTACAGATCTACACGTAATATATAATTTTGCAAAATTTTCAAACTATAATTCTTACAAATTATTGAGAGGCGACAGCGGACCACTTGAAGGCTTATTTAGATCACACTTCAGGTGGTTTGATGCTTTATAGTCACATGGATGAATACTTTATTGTACTTACTTTTACTTTTGGCAGAGAAAGCAATCGAAAACACAGATAAATTCTGAAACATCGTTAAGAAAGCAAAATATCGTAAATTTAATTTCACTTCACTATTGACCATGTATTCAAGATCATTCAGTAGTTGCTTAAACACTGCAAGATTCCATAGTTCTATCTACCTAGTTTTGATTAGCTTGTAACTGTGTTATCCTTCACTTGAGCGAGAAAATGTATACCAAGTTTATGAAAGCATAAAACTTGAGCACTTTGGTAGAATGTAATTCCATATTAGATTTGTTTATTTGATATATAGCGCTTTATATCAAATAAACAAATCTAATATGGAATTACAAGTTTATGAAAGCACACTGTGCATCCTGGTCTCGTCATACATAGTATATTTCGTAGTTTGTGAAGCAACTGATAAGAATCATTGAAGTAAATCCATGAAGCCTTCCATACTATTGCATTTTCTCCATTCTAAATGCTAGGGTATCTTCATCTCAATATCTGTTCATTGTATTCACTAGTGTGTAATATTGACTTTATGACAATCATTTGCTTTTAAGTCATGCGAATTTCACTTGTTTTTTAAAACGCAATTCCTACTGGCTTGTTTGTAAAAGGCAATGGAGCAATCATTACTGGACCTTACTGGAAATAATGGTGTTGTTTAGTACGTAATTCAAATAAAGTGAAATATTTAACTTTGGGAGGGAGATGAAATTTACTGCGAATCAGTGACTCGCTCATTGTCGTATCTGTAAGGTAGAACAGCTTCTAAGTTACTGATCATTTGATGTTATAATGTATTGAAAACTCACTCATCTGTTTAACGGTCTTGATTTCTAGGCTGCCTCATCTTTTTGCTATGAATTCCAACCGTTTATCGGTTATCTCTTGATATCCGGTGTAATTACATCCTGAGTACTTGATCAGTCGTCAGCCCTTGTTTTTCTCTTCCTAATCCTCATGGTCACCACAAAACTTACATTCGTCTACGCGCTCCTCCACAACAGCTTACCTAAAAGCTATACAAAAAACCTACCAACAGCTAGTTGTTACAGTTTGATTCTTTCTAATGAGTGACTTTATAGGCCACCCTAGAAATAACGGAAACAACCAATTAGGTTTTTTTGTTTCAACTCGAAAGCCAGCTTTTTTATGAAATATAGAACTTTCATTGGTTATCTTGCTAGTTGTTAGGGTGGCCTTTAAAGTTAGTCTTTATAGGGATTTCCTTAACATACAAGGCCTAGGTTTGGGGATAGTTTTTCCATCACCATTTCATGTAAGTTATATAAATAATGAGGTGGTTTTAGACAACACAGTGATCACCGCACTACATTTCGTTGTTGCTTCACTCACTCTTACTTATTCCTCTACTGATGTTCTACGACGTTTGATTATATTACCTCATACTATTTTCATGGATTTCAGTTTGCTGTCTGACATCTTGGTGTCATGAAGTGAAGCGTGGCAACTTGGGTTGTTAATCGGCAGTGTTAACTCGCATGTTCATACTGTCTAGCTGATAGAGACTTTGAGACTTTTCAAAGATACATAAGTTACAGTGTGGTAAGGAATCTTACAACTACAGTGAGAAGTTTCCGAAGTTACCTCTCTTATATACTGCGATCAACTTATGAATAATGACGTGCAACAAAACATATGTACGAATGAGAGATAGTTGAAACGTTTTCATATGAATAAAAATCATAGGTTTTGAGAAAACCGGTACTCACTACAAACATCACATGAACTTTCATCAATCCCTAAGATATGGATACATCTGCAGTTGATGAGTTTCAAGTGAAATTAAACACATGCGCTGGTTTCCTGTTGTTATGCACCAGCCAACAATAACATGAATCGTGTTATTTAATGCTCAATAACAATCACTGTGATTTATTATCAATTGAATGTTAGGACTATTTATATGAACTTCTTTATACTGGACCCTACCTTCAAATGCTCCAACCAATCATTGACTAACTTGACAAGAACCAGTGGGCTGATTAGATTTCTATCAAAATCATCCCATACCTCAGGATCATTGTTGAATCTTCGCTGTTTCATTTAAAAAAAACAGCAAAGATATATTGTTAAAATAGCATTCAAAATTTAAAAAAGAGAAAAACATATGAACATAATGACGATTTAAATTAGGTTCCGATCATTCCGTTTCATCAAAAAAATGATATTACATTATAAGACATTATATATGGAAACGTTTCAGAGAGTTAGAAATATCACCTGGTTAACAAGTTCACTAATCACTAGCCGGTCCTAAGCCCGAGTAAAGAGGAAAGGTTGGGCATAGGGCTAGCAACCCTATCCCGTAAAACCAACCCAACCGCTAAAGAAACTTCAAAGCACAAACAAAATATAAAAAAATGATAACAAAATGATTCCTCGCTGGAATCGGAGAGGCGAAAGGACGCCAGTTGGTGAGAGCCTTCGGGAAGCCAATTGGCCCATGTAACTTCTCTTTCCCGATGAAAGCAAAAGCAAACATGGGGACACGGAATGTCCACACAATGTTTCAAGCTGGCTAGCAGGGCTGCCCAGATTGCAAAGGAGATGAGAAGGTATGGCATAGAAGTGTTAGGAATCTGCAAAAGCAGATGGAATGGAAGTAAAATCTCCCAACTGTCAACTAGAGAGACAATAATCCACTCCGACATTGTCACCCATTCGACAACCACGAGCACATTGAGTTCCGGAGTGACTATCATGATGTCCCCAAGAGCATCGAAGGCTCTCATGCAGTGGGAACCAATCTCCTCATGCAGGATCATGACGGCAAGGTTCAACTCAAAAGGAAGGAAAGTCACGATCACATAGTGCTGCGCTACGCACCTACAAATAATGCAGATGAAGAAAAGAAGGAGGAATTCTACAGACAACTGCAATCAACACTGGACAAGACTCCAGTTGGCGACATCAAAATTCTAATGGGTTGGGTAACATGAATGCCAAAGTGGGAGCGGACAACACAAGTAGTGAACTGATTATAGGTCGGGAAGCACTCGGTGAAATGAACGAGAATGGAGAACTTTTTGCAGATTTCTGTGCACTCAACGGTTTGGTGATTGGGGGCACTGTGTTCAAGCACAAGGATATTCACAAAGCGACATGGATTTCATCAGACACCAGGACACACTAAAAATCAGATCGACTTCATCTTAATGTGAAGAAAGTGGAGACACAGCCTACTGGACACAAGATCAGATCAAGAAGAGGAGCAGACGTATGCTCAGACCAGATCTAGTGCAAGGAACCTTCCAAACCAAGTTGAAAGCCTTCACAGAAGTTGGTGATAGGCCACAGTACAAGTTTCACACCCAGAACAGAAACTGAAGGACGAAACTACAAAGGACATCTTCACTTCAGCCATCAGAACAAAATGGGAGACATTAGGCAACATCCCCGAGGAAACCTGCGTGGAAGAACACTGGAAATCTTTGAAAGCTATGTGGAAAGAAACCTGCATAACCGTGTAAGGAAGGAAGAAGAGAGAAGAAGACAAGGAATGGATCTCGATGTACACATGGAAGCTGATAGAGCAGGGAGAGGAAGATGGTGATGGTGAAGCGGAAGATGAACCAGTGCAGCGCAATGGAGTGCAGGGATGAACAACGCAAAGAGGAACTGAGTACAGCGTATAAAACACTGGACAAGGAGGTGAAGAAGAGTGCGCGCAAGGACAAAAGACAATTCTACGACACATTGGCAAGTGAAGCAGAACAGGCTGCTGGTAGGAAAGGTCTGACAACATTGTGTCAAATAACCAGGTTACTATCTGGGAAGAGATCAACACAGACGAAACCAATGAGAGATAGTGAAGGGAACCTAGTTACCAAAGGAGAGAAACAAAGGAAACGATGGGCTGACCACCTCATAAAACTCTTGGATCGACTACCACCACCACCTGCAACTCGTTCAGAAATACCACCAGTAACCGCAGAACCACCAGTGAACACATGCCTTCCCATAAGAACCGGAGTCCTGAACACCATAAAGCTTCTGAAATCCAGGAAAGCAGCAGGACCAGATGGAATCCCACCAGAAGCACTGAGAATGGACACAGAGACAACAGCGGACATGCTCACACCACTATTGCAGAAAGTCCGGGAGGAAGAGAAGGTACCTGCAGATTGGAAGAAGGTCTTCCTTGTCAAACTCCCAAGGAAGGATGACATAAGTCTTCGCAATATCTGCCGCGGAATCATGCCCCTGTCTACCCAAAGCAAAATATCAAGTCGCGTCATCCTGGGGAGACTAAAAGATGCCATGGATTCAAAATTACGACCGGGACAGGCAGGCTGGCTAGCTTCAGGAGGTACAAGTCATGTGCAGATCAAATTGCAACGCTACGCTACACATCATCATAGAACAGAGCATGGAATGGCAGTCAACCCAACTCTACCTCAACTTCATCGATTTTTAAAGGCCTTCAATAGTGTCGACCGAGAAGTAATTTGGCAGGCAACTGCTTCAATACTACGGAATACCGCAAACCTTTGTCAGCCTCATTCAACAACTATACGAAGACGCCATATGCCAAGTAATTAACAATAGGAAGCTCAGTGATGCTTTTGAAGTGAAGACAGGAGTTAAACAAGGTTGCCTACTATCACCCATGATATTCCTGATAGTGGTCGGCTGGATCATGCAACAAACAGTAAGGAGCGAGAAGAGGAGGATAAGCTGGACCACACAAAAGAACCTAGAAGATTTGGATTTCGCAGATGACTTGTGTCTGATGTCACACAAACTTGAAGATCTACAGGCGAAAACTAACAAGTTGGCAGAAGAGGCGAGGTAGCAAAGACGGGACTTCAGGTGAACGTAGAAAAGATAGAGATGAATATACACAACCAACACCACCACCAACAACAACAAGCTCCAATCATCATCAACGGGAGAAACTTAAACGAAGTAGCCTCTTTCACTTATCTAGGTAGCACTGTTTCAACTACAGGCGACATAGACGAGGACATGAAAGCCAGGATTGGAAAAGCAAGACAGGCGTTCATTAGCCTGAAACCAGTGTGGAGATCTTCTGCACTGCACTCAGCATGTGGAACAAAATACGTATTTTCAACACCAACGCCAAGTCAGAGCTTCTGTCTGGCTCAGAGACTTGGCGCGTTACGAAAGGGATTTCCAACAAACTACAGACATTCATCAGCAACTGCCTACGCTCGCTACTGAAGCTCAGATGGCCAGAAGGAACTCTGACCTGTCGATGAACCAACCGAGAACCTATCGCTCAACGAATATGCAGAACAAAGTGGAGATGGATTTGGTATACACTGAGAAGGCAGAGTGGGGGTATCACGAGCCACGCCAGGCCTTTGAATGGGATCCAAAGGGGAAGCGACGAGTTAGGCGTCCAAGGAGAGGGTGACTTGGAGGAGATCGTGCGAGGAGGAAATGAGAGCTTGTGGGCTGTCATGGAGCTAGGTTCAAAAGACTTCAGAGGACAGAGTGTAATAGAGACGTGCTACTGAAGCCCTATAGTTCCATTTGGAACCCAAGGGACAAATAAATAAATATATCAGAGAGTTATCATTTGACTGATATAGCCGTGGTTTGGCAGACTTATTTTTATACTGGGTGATGATTGACGGTGAAATGAAAATTTAAACCGTGCCCGGATTCGAACCAGTGGCCATCGGGTTTCCAGCCCCGATGCTCTACCAATTGAGTTACTAGGTCCGACTACTGGACAGATTTTTATTTTATTTCAATCACCATGGGTTTCTCCCGACTACATTGTGAATTCGTGACGCATTACTACTACCACTCTGTCGTATTCACACTGGCTACCTAGTCAAGACTTCTTATTCCAATCCAAATCTAACTGAATTAGAGAGTTATCACCAACGTTGCACGTCATTCTACTTACGGGTAATACTCAGTAAAAAGGTGTTCATGATAGCTTGTCTTGAACTTTTCATCAACAAACATTGTGACGTCCTCAGCACTAACTTCATACAGAGAACAATAAAGCGCCATGATTTCCATCATTTTCAAAGAACCGTTCATTTATACATTGAAAAGAGTGATCATAGGTGACTACAAATCAAATTATTTTCATATTAGTAATATTTTGTACCATGGTTTGGTCGACATGAACATCTGAAAGTTCAGTAATGACACTTTTTTCCACAATTGATTAACGACAAAAGCTTTTTGTCTCAGTAAGATACATTTGGAAGTTGAATGAACACACCAGAAAGGGGTGAGTTGATAACTAACTTATTTTCAGTACTTTCCACTCAGTTTTTATATAACATGTGAAGTTCGCTTGTTAGCATAATTGTTTTTCTTCCTTTGAGTTATGAGGTCGAATCCCATTTCACATACTGGGATATGGGAAGTTAAGCTGTATTATCCTATTATGTAGTTGCTAAGGTGTGAGAAGTGAATAACTTTAAAACATACGACGGACATACTATGGCTGTTGATTCCATCAGTAAGCGAGCAGCTTCCTTCTATACGAAAGAGTATATATAGTTACCACAGACAGGTTATTTCGCGAAACTCTGATTATCTAAGCCAACTTGATAATTTCATAAAGAGGTACTTTTCTGGCATAGGTACTTTTAAGTCAGAAATATTGGTTTGGTGTCCGGTTGAGGCTAAATGACTTAAGTAAGTATAATGAAAGTTGTTTGATACCTGTAATCCCTCGCTGCTATACTGGGTCTAATTGTTTGTCCTCTGTTGGCAGATGGGCTCTTGTGTGAATGCCTCAACACTGCCGGATTACCTATTATGCTGTAATCTGCTTGGTAGTTAACAGTGGAATCGAAGACATGGTTTCGATCTATCTTGGACTAGTCATTTCGATGTCCCTGCCCCTAATGAGTGGTATTGTTCCCTCTGAGACTCAAACTCATGACCCATCGCTTCAAGTGTCAAAGCGCTTTCCAACAAGTGGTCGCTTATGTGCCCCATTGGTTTAGCGAACATCGCTTTGGCACTCGAAGCGATAAGTACTTGGCTCGAGTTTCAGTGGGAACACCACCACTCACTGGGTTTCGGGTACATGTGGCTGACCAGTCCTAAACATAAGGAAAACTGTGTCCTGAATTTTGTTGTTAGCCACCAAGCAAGTCACAATATATTGAAAATTACTCACAGACAAGGTGTAACTGAATGCCAGATGACAGAAAAGTTTTCTGACTGTTACCATATGATTATGTTCCACGCTCATCAACTAATTAAATAGTAGGAGAGAAATGTCATGAGGGTAAGACATAGAGTTAGTAAAATGGGTTATTAGGTGAACAGTGAATTATAACCGATGCATTTCCAGCTGTGATTCTATTCACGATGGTATACTTAACTTTTGAAAAGACGAAAAAATATCAAATAACAATAAAATACGTTGAAGAAGTATCCACTTACCTAAGTACAAACACTGAGAAAAGGGCTTAACGTTGTGTCTTTTGCTTCGTGTAAAACATTAACTGAACTGAAATATAACTCACTAGTCGGATGCAAAAGTTTCTAATTTCTTAAACTTAAAAGAGCTCTATAATTTGGATTTAACTGTGTTTTGTTTGAATGTTATAGCATACGATACTTTTTTTCATTCTGTTAATATTGATTGACAGGTATTTACTGATCAAGGCATATACTGCTGATTCTCAAGCTGATTGACTGAACATTACCAGCATTTCATTTAAGGTCAGGTATGAATTACTACTGTTCTTCTGGTGTCGACATCAGCCTTTCGCTCATTTGTGTATTTTGAAGACGAAAGATACGGGTCATAATGTATATGTATGGTATGGTGAATAACCACAAAAGGTATCACTTCCTACTTGAATACCTTAACCATCCCATAGGTTTGAAGTAGTACTCAAGTGGAATCATCATTTGAGTGTATGTAGCAATTTTATCATGCACAGCTGTTAATCGACAACATAAAGTGACCTGAAGCCATATCCGAAGTCAGAATACATCTGTTTTCCTAACGACATTTCTTCACTTGAAACGATAAGAACTCACGAAAAGCTGTTTAATTTGTACTACTGTCATTTAGTTTTAGTAGTAAGAGTCTATTTAATAAATAAAATGTTGGAGTCAAGACTGAGCTGCCCTGTAAGCTTCTAAGGTAGGGCGTAATTCCATTGCATGCAATATATGCTTTGTTATCGTTTGTTTTATGCAACTCTAATATTTGAATCAAATAATCAACATCTGATTAGATGTCTTGAAGTTTAGTAAACCTAGGGTACTAATTATGATAATTTCCTTGGTTGTGCGCAGCAAAGGAATCCATGGGCTCGCATTTCATCCTATTTGAAACTCATCAGCTGCATGCGCCTACACCCTATTGAGCGATGTTGTTCCTTTGGGACTCTAACCTCGTCCCCATCTCTTTAAACGCCAAAGCTTTACCCATTAGGCCACTGACGCACGATTTCCACCTCTTGTACAATGGGTATTACAAGCGTACCAAAAAGTAGTAATTACCTAAACTGAATTCCAAATCAATATCTAGATGCACATCATCACACAAAAAAGTTTCAGTTCTGCACCAACTGACACTCGCGTAATCAAAATTTTTATTGCTCCACAGCAGTCTTTCTTATCAGCTACAACTTATTCATGATTTTTGGAAAAATTGGCAGCTCATTGGTAATGTTGCTGACTGCATTAATGAGTGACACGCGTTCGAATCTCATAGAGGATATCAGTTCCCTTGAGGTTGCAAATACGCCTTGTTGACGAATACCAACAGACACGAAACCTAGGCTCAGGGCTTCCTGCCGACTGCTACCAACCAACTAACATAGGCACTTTGTTACGAATGCCCAAGATGGTAACCTTTAGACGTTTAATTTTTCAAGGTGGTATTTATCACAAACTGACATCAGTTGCAGAACCAATGAACTCATTGAATGGTGGATGAATCTGAGTTATTCGTTGATATTTCATGCTATCAAGAACCCGCTTTTCAGCATCTCTACTGAAGTATATTCTTATCTGCGTAGTCAATGGAATTATCCTGTAAGATATTATTGAGACAAGTCATCTAATACTGAAATAATGTGACTCATTTTACTGAATGAAAAGGTTAGCAACGCTTATTTCAAATAATCTACCACCGTTTGGATTATTTCACTGTAATATTTTATTCCATTTATAAATGAATTTTTAATCTAGCTGTAAGTAGGACGGTATACTACATGATAGTGCATTGGTTCCATTAGCTAACTCTCATAAAAGTACTGGTAAAGAAAATTAAGAAAATGGGAGGATTTTTAAAGCATGGATCAATATGCATTTCGTTCTAATAACTAGTCTGTATGGTCCAACATCAATATTTAGTTGCTCAATAAATAATTAATTAGGTAACAGTTTTTTAAGACGATGAACCATTGTCTAAGCCTAAAGCACAGCATGGTCCTCCCAAGTTTTCAAACATTTCCCTACAGATTGTCAATTCGTGCTGAAATCTACTTTTTAGACAGTCATTTGATGTATCAAACTTCATTTTACATCACTATCATGTAAAAACTGAAAGAAAACCCGGACAGCAATGAGATTTTTGGCTTGAATATACGTCCAGTTTACCTTTTTAAGGTCAGTTTTCAATGTTTGTCTCTGAATATAAGTAAGAATTTGCCTAATCTATAAGCTTCATGGCATTGGTTAGTCATTGTAGTGTAGGCAACCAGGAACCAAGAACTAAATGTCCTTGAGATAAGATACCTAAGAAGGTTCGTAGTATTACAAATTTGATATTGTTGCCTGCACTACACGGTCATTGATTCGACCAAATTGATCGGTCTGGCTTGGCATATAGGGTTTTGTGCGGATGTCTCGATATTACTTATGGCGTTTGAAGTGATCGATCCCAAGTTCGAATCCCGGTGGGAACAGCCACTCACTAGAAGGCAGGTACATCAGCTGACGAGTCCTAAATGGGATAAAATGCACATCCTGGATGCCACTGCTAGTCACTGTCCATCATTACTATAATTAGAACACAGGTAATATCAAGGCATCCACACAGTAGCCCATATTTCAATATAGACCGATTAATGCGGTCGAGTCAACGACGGTATTATACAAGCAACAATACCAAAACCATACCCGTAGCACAAGAAATGGCCATTGTGGCTCGGTGGTCTACTGGATAACGCTGTGGCGTTTGTAGCGATTGACCCCGAGTTCGAATCCCGGTGGGAGCAACACTCACTGGGAGGCAGGTAAATCCAGCTGCCGAGTAGCAAATAGGAAGAAATACGCACCCTGGATTCCACCGCTAGCCACTTTCCATCATTATTACAATTTGGTATTGAAAACAAAGTAACCTAAGTAATATCCATATTTTACAGAATATTGTTTCAATAAAATGTTGAGATAACATACTTTCCAATATTCCGTTTCATTTACAACAGATTCAGGATATTGTGTAGTTAACAGAGCTTCTATCACAGACTGTGCACCCACCAAGGGTATATAAGTATTATTTTCGTTCGAAGAATGATTTTCTGGAGAAAAAATAACCATAGAATTGCAGTGAAGTAATCATTTCATGAAGGATTTTAAGATGAATAGGAATAAATAAGTGTTTTGAGAAGTTGTATCAAAATTGTCGAATAAAAATGATATTCCTTTTGTGAACTGAAAGTGGTTATTAGGTTTACTAATAATTACATTTAATAATTTAAGGAAACTAATGAACTTTAGGAATTTTAAAGCCGATTAATTAGTGGCTCCTTTGAGCTTACAATTTTTCAAAATTGAAGTTTGTTTGGAAATGATGAAAGTTACATCAATAGGCAACATACTGAACAAGCAAAATGTACTACTGAAAAACTTAATTAGTTAAAACTACTGGGGGATTATAGTGACCTAAAAAAGACGTGGACCATTCGAAAGCCCTGACTGTTGGTCAAAGCCGTGTTGGGAGATGTAGACTATAGAGTTGAGGTCCCTGGGACGAAAGAAATCAGTAGTTGAGGACTCTTTGTCACATGTCTGACAGTTAGTCGCAGTGGTGCAGATGTATTCAATCTTTCAAGTCTTTTAGGGCTCGAATATTCATACCAACCCTCAACTTCAGATTGCTCATTCTCTCGCGTAACCTCGTTTACTTTATAATCTGTCTTTTTCTATACATCTATTTTTTGTAGACAGCTGTGAAGTGAGGCATCTGGAATTGATCCCAACGTTTTCAAGGTTCTTCGTTGATTCTCCCTATCTTTCTAACTCAAGCTGAACTGCAGATTTTTTCAGCCGGAATAGAGTGATCTAAACGGCGTACCCCAAAAATTGCGTTCACAGAGTCAACGTATTCAAATCAAGTGAACCTGCGTAAATGATAACGATGTAACGGTACACCTTAAACAGGTAAATGAATTCGCAAATGATTTATGAAGTAGATTGTTTTCGTTGTGATTCCTCAGAACTGATTTAGTTTTTCTAATGCATAACTATGGTGACAGCAGAGTTTCCGTTGTAAGCCACCCCACAGCAAAGACGACCAAATGTGACCTCTGATATGAAATTTTCATGTATAAGCGAGATATCTTACCGAAGACATTGGATAGTGAGTAACCATACAAGCTTATTTGCTGACTTCACTAGCAATGTCAAAGTGAAATAAAAGCTGGAAGACTGTGTCGTTGGTTTCATACAAAGCTAATCATTATTATGTTATTTGTCCCTTGGGTTCCTAGTGAAACATAGGGCTTTAGTAGCACGTCTCCATTACACTCTGTTCTCTGCAGTCTTTTGAACCTGGCTCCACGACTCCCCAAAACCCTTCATTTCTTCCTCGCACGATCTCCTCCATATCACCCTCGCCTCAGACGCTCAACTCGTCGTTTCCCATGTGGGTTCCACTCAACAGCCTGATCTGGCCTGGCGCGTGATGTCCCCAAACGGTCTTCTCAGTGTATACCCAATCCATCTCCACTTTGTTCTACATACTAGTTGGATGATAGCTTCCTGGTTGGTTCGTTATCAGGCCAGAGTTCCTTTTTGTTAACTCTTATTATTCTGGCCATCCATCTCATCTCCAGTATCGAGTGAGCGTAGGCTGCAGCTGTTGATGTATGTCTGCAGTTTGTTGGGAATGCTTTTCGTGACGCTCCAAGTCTCTCAACCATCACATAGAAGCACTGACTTGGCCGAATCAGTGTTGAAAATCCGGATCTTGTTCACACATTATGCTGAGTGCAGTGCAGTGCAGTAGATATCCACACTGATTTCAGGTTAATGAAGGCCTGTCTTGCTGCCTTTCCAATCCTGGCTTTGACATCCTGATCGGTGCCTGTGCTACCTGTAGTTGAAACGATGCTGCCTAAGTAGGTAGGTGGAAGAGACAACTTCTTTTAGATTTCTCCCGTTCATGGTGATTGTTGCTGTTAGTTGGGTATCCTCATCACCTCCGTCTTCTCTATGTTCACCTGAAGTCCCATCTTCGCTACCTCTTCTTCCAAGATGTTGGTTTTCGCCTGTTGACCTCCGAGTTTGTACGACATTAGATATAAATCATCGGCGAAATGTAAATCTCCTAGGGTCTTTTCATTGGTCAAACAGTTTGTTGTGTGATCCAGCCATGCGCAGTCGACCACAATAAGGAAGATGATGGGTGATAGTAGGCAACCTTGTGTTGTCTTACTTCCATCTTCACTTCAAAGGCGTCACTAAGCTTTTCATTGTTAATCACTTGGCATGAAGCATCCCCACATAGCATATAGATTTGGTATGAATTTGACAAAGGTTTGCGGTATTCCGTAGTATTGAAGCAGTTGCCTGCCAAATTACTTCTCGGTCGACACTATTGAAGGCCTTTAAAAATCGATGAAGTTGAGGTAGAGTTGGGTTGACTGCCATTCCATGCTCTGTTCTATGATGATGTGTAGCGTAGCGTTGCAATTTGATCTGCACATGACTTGTACCTCCTGAAGCTAGCCAGCCTGCCTGTCCCGGTCGTAATTTTGAATCCATGGCATCTTTTAGTCTCCCCAGGATGACGCGACTTGATATTTTGCTTTGGGTAGACAGGGGCATGATTCCGCGGCAGATATTGCGAAGACTTATGTCATCCTTCCTTGGGAGTTTGACAAGGAAGACCTTCTTCCAATCTGCAGGTACCTTCTCTTCCTCCCGGACTTTCTGCAATAGTGGTGTGAGCATGTCCGCTGTTGTCTCTGTGTCCATTCTCAGTGCTTCTGGTGGGATTCCATCTGGTCCTGCTGCTTTCCTGGATTTCAGAAGCTTTATGGTGTTCAGGACTCCGGTTCTTATGGGAAGGCATGTGTTCACTGGTGGTTCTGCGGTTACTGGTGGTATTTCTGAACGAGTTGCAGGTGGTGGTGGTAGTCGATCCAAGAGTTTTATGAGGTGGTCAGCCCATCGTTTCCTTTGTTTCTCTCCTTTGGTAACTAGGTTCCCTTCACTATCTCTCATTGGTTTCGTCTGTGTTGATCTCTTCCCAGATAGTAACCTGGTTATTTGACACAATGTTGTCAGACCTTTCCTACCAGCAGCCTGTTCTGCTTCACTTGCCAATGTGTCGTAGAATTGTCTTTTGTCCTTGCGCGCACTCTTCTTCACCTCCTTGTCCAGTGTTTTATACGCTGTACTCAGTTCCTCTTTGCGTTGTTCATCCCTGCACTCCATTGCGCTGCACTGGTTCATCTTCCGCTTCACCATCACCATCTTCCTCTCCCTGCTCTATCAGCTTCCATGTGTACATCGAGATCCATTCCTTGTCTTCTTCTCTCTTCTTCCTTCCTTACACGGTTATGCAGGTTTCTTTCCACATAGCTTTCAAAGATTTCCAGTGTTCTTCCACGCAGGTTTCCTCGGGGATGTTGCCTAATGTCTCCCATTTTGTTCTGATGGCTGAAGTGAAGATGTCCTTTGTAGTTTCGTCCTTCAGTTTCTGTTCTGGGTGTGAAACTTGTACTGTGGCCTATCACCAACTTCTGTGAAGGCTTTCAACTTGGTTTGGAAGGTTCCTTGCACTAGATCTGGTCTGAGCATACGTCTGCTCCTCTTCTTGATCTGATCTTGTGTCCAGTAGGCTGTGTCTCCACTTTCTTCACATTAAGATGAAGTCGATCTGATTTTTAGTGTGTCCTGGTGTCTGATGAAATCCATGTCGCTTTGTGAATATCCTTGTGCTTGAACACAGTGCCCCCAATCACCAAACCGTTGAGTGCACAGAAATCTGCAAAAAGTTCTCCATTCTCGTTCATTTCACCGAGTGCTTCCCGACCTATAATCAGTTCACTACTTGTGTTGTCCGCTCCCACTTTGGCATTCATGTTACCCAACCCATTAGAATTTTGATGTCGCCAACTGGAGTCTTGTCCAGTGTTGATTGCAGTTGTCTGTAGAATTCCTCCTTCTTTTCTTCATCTGCATTATTTGTAGGTGCGTAGCGCAGCACTATGTGATCGTGACTTTCCTTCCTTTTGAGTTGAACCTTGCCGTCATGATCCTGCATGAGGAGATTGGTTCCCACTGCATGAGAGCCTTCGATGCTCTTGGGGACATCATGATAGTCACTCCGGAACTCAATGTGCTCGTGGTTGTCGAATGGGTGACAATGTCGGAGTGGATTATTGTCTCTCTAGTTGACAGTTGGGAGATTTTACTTCCATTCCATCTGCTTTTGCAGATTCCTAACACTTCTATGCCATACCTTCTCATCTCCTTTGCAATCTGGGCAGCCCTGCTAGCCAGCTTGAAACATTGTGTGGACATTCCGTGTCCCCATGTTTGCTTTTGCTTTCATCGGGAAAGAGAAGTTACATGGGCCAATTGGCTTCCCGAAGGCTCTCACCAACTGGCGTCCTTTCGCCTCTCCGATTCCAGCGAGGAATCATTTTGTTATCATTTTTTTATATTTTGTTTGTGCTTTGAAGTTTCTTTAGCGGTTGGGTTGGTTTTACGGGATAGGGTTGCTAGCCCTATGCCCAACCTTTCCTCTTTACTCGGGCTTAGGACCGGCTAGTAACTAGTGAACTAGTTAACTAGGCGAGGTTATTATGAAACTAAATGTAACGAATATATGTGCACTTTATTTCTGGCAGGACAGATGTTGCTTGGCTCATAGGGTTATAGTAGCAAAATATTCACCCACATTACAATCATATTCATTATGATGTAGTCAGTTTCAAACGAAAAGATTGTATAATGAGTCTTTTTCACGTCTATGGCACTAATTGATGTTGGTTTCAGTTTTTGATAGAGTAGAGCACTAAGTTTACTGATTTCTTGTGAAAAGATTATTTAACAATTGTCTGTGGATTGACCCGAAACGTAAAGCGGCAAAAATGAGATGAAGTACTCCAGAATATTGGATATTGGATGGTGAATACATACAAACGAAATAATCAGTGGAAAATTCAATTCCCAGTGAAACAGCGTTTTTTCTATTTAGTGCTATTTCAAAAGACAAAACTGTAAACAAAGTGGATACTTCAAGGCTGTTTGAAACATATTATTATGCACATTCATAAAGATTTTCGAAATTTAAACACTTTCTTGGGATCATGAGTTGAACTGGATTCTGAAATGTTCCTTCTGTATGCTTCATCACAACCCAATGACCCATAATTAAGAATTCTTGTTGATTAGCACCGTTTTCTAACAGGTATTTGAGTACATATAATTCAACGGTAAACACTTGTCCATTATTTTTATAAACTAACTCATGTGGTAAGTCGGGATATCTTTCCACAAGCCTGTTAATCCAAAAAATATAGAGATATCAAACATCTGAATCTCTGAACGAGGTTGAAAGTGACACATAAAAAGCTATGTTGACCAATGACCAATCAAGTTAACTTTACCTAGTGCGAATTTCCTTGATAATCATCAAACTTTTAAATATGCAAAACTGAATTTTGACCAAAAGCGCAACAATCAAAATTTTCGGAAGGTAATTATGATAATGGTTGTGTATCCAATTAAAAAACGGATATTGTAGTACGTTTCAGAAACTCATATTTTAACTGTTAGTTGTTATCTACGTCAAACACTTGATCAAACTAATTTTTACCTGGAAAAGGTAGCATACTATAAATACAACATACCATATGTACAGCTTGCCTTGGTATTTGTCAGTGTGTTTTCTTGATCAACTTGATTATTTGCACAAATTTTAGATGGTGGGAAAAGTATCATAGACGTTCTGCAGAAAGGAATAACGAAACAAAAGGGTACTTTAAAAATGCTTGCAAAAATCCCAAAGTTTTAAGAAATTACAAGTAATTTCAGCCTATAGATAAAAAATGTAGATGCTTATAATGAGGTTTACAGAAGAGTGATTTTAAGAGTCTCGTTCCATCCTAACTGAATACTCTTTCATGAATATCGACCGCTCAGTGTTTACTGTAACTTGGATCAGCCATATATTAAGAATTTCGAAACTGTAGAAAATTTCGATGATTTTATGTACTTGCTTAGTAGGCTTAACCAAGTTCATATTGATTATTTGGCAAATACTTTCCCTATGAGTTTCCACTTTATGCCAGATGAAGCTCACATCAAGCATGTACAACAGTTGAATGTATTATGATTATCCCTCCTATACGCTACTGTGAATAAAATTTCACTTTCACAAATACGATTACTTATGGATGTGCCTTTTTATGGTCAAACTGTCTATATGGCTTAGTTTTTAAATTACGTTAGAACACGATATTACAACTACAGTGTTTCTAAAACCGTTCTCCCGTTAAGATGGTCAGTAAGAACATTGAGATGCATAAAGTATTTACACTAAATATAGTTAAAGCTTAGACAAAAAGAAAATAATCTTGGAGTGTTATGATGAGATGAACATCATATATTTCGCTGTTAACTGACATAAAGATAAGATATGAGGTAACTTCGAGTTGTTCACACTGAAAGCCGATATGCCGACAAGAACTGATTGTTTCTGTTATGAAAAAATTTATGTCTGTAGTAAGGTCATGAACTTTTGGAGGTGAAAATAATTTGAAATGCGACAAACATTATCACTGCGTGATACTACTGAGCGTTTTGGTTTCATAACAAACAAAAAAGTAGAAAAATTATATTACTTGAAGGTTATTTCAGAGATATTCACGTACAGTAAACGAAAATGTTGGTGAAATATAGATCGACTTGAAATTCTTCAGCAAAGATGTAAGAACGCTTAAGATGCATGTATTGTATAACAGGTGTAAGATGTGCTTTAGTTCAAACTATACAGATAGTTAGGTGCACATACCACACCAACTCCATGAAATGTCAAATCAGGATTGGTGAGTTAATTGTTGATAAATTTTCAGTTCGGATTTGAAATTCCTATTTAGATCTTTACATCGAACATGACGTCAGAGAGTTACTTGACTGTGTTTGTAAGGAATGAAGTATACCACACAATAGCATACTCTGTCTCTCTCTAGGTTGTTAGAAACAGCTATTGCCATGTTGAGAAAAGAGAAGGTTTCAGGTATTTGTTCTTCAATAATCTTGGAGTATAGAATAAAAATGGGTGACTTAAATACTCAGTGTCAGTAAAAGATCAGAATCAGTTGGTTGGGTCATTTACCTGAGTTTATTCAGGTAAGGAATGTACCGCCTACTCATATCAAGATACGGAAAAACTGAACTAACCACGTAGGGCGATCGGACCACTTGAAAAAGTTGTTATATACCCATCTCTGAGGGAAGAATTATGGGTGCAAACCAATACATTTCAGCATCATATGTGAACAATATCTAGTTTAAAGACTAATATTTCTGAAACCGAGATGTCTTGCTCAAATCAAAAATTGGTCAGACGACTGGTTTCTACTTCTCATTCACGTGGTAGGATATTAACTGGATAGATAGATAAGAGTATTCAGTCGACATTATTCTTCCAAACAAATCAAAACCATGGCAGTCTACTAGAATTTTGAGACGACTATTTTTCTTCAAATGTACTTCAATGAATTCCGCCTTTTTTTGTTTATTTCAACCACTCAATGTTGATAAATCGCAAAACGTATTCTCGCTGATTCTCGAAATGTCTTAAAGCTTATCATTAGACAAATTAACAACAAAATTACGAAAAAATACTCCGATATATGGCAGTGAGCTCTTAAGCACACAATAGTATGTATACGTAGATCTTACGAAAACAGTAAAGTGGGACTGCATATTTTCATACTGGCTGGATGAACCTCCCTTACCAAACTTTGAGTAACAACGCACTCACAAACTAGACGATAACCAAATAACAACTGTTCATTGTATATCACTGCCTATCATATTGTTACTACTAACATTATTTAGAAGCCGTAAACGTTTCATTTTAACATATTGTACAAGAAATAACTGTATTGAAATATCCCACTGAGAATTTCATACTGCATTAAAAATTATTGTCTGCAATAGTGATTATTATTACTCTTATTGGATAGGACTGATGGGTCTGTCATCGGACATACGAAACAACCATTTATACTTAAGAGTAATTGGAAGTTACAATATGTAATAGTACCCCTTATGTATACTAACCAACAGATGGAAAGAATATCACCAATACTGTGATGAAAAAAACTAGAAAGACACAGAAATGCTTATAACCGGAGAAAATGATTCCATACGGAGGATTTTTTCCCACATTAATTAACAAACCAGAATCACTAAAACCAATAAAATAAGAATAATATTTCTGAACAATAAAGAAATTTATATATGTATAACCTTAGTGTTATTGCTTGTATTACACCGTCGTTGATAGAACCGAATTGATCAGCCTCTGTTGGCATATGGGCTCCTATGCGGATGCCTCGATATGGCCTGTCTTTTAACTATGTTTAGTAATGATGGGCAGTGGCTAGCAGTGGAATCCAGGATGCGCATTTCGTCCTATTTGCGCATCCTGGATTCCACTGCTAGCCACTGCCCATCATTACTAAATATGTATAACCTTAGTCTAAAAATAAACAATTTACTCGGTTAGTTTCATTGTGACTGGTTTGGAGTCGTATGGCCTACAGTCGCTAACAACTCATTTTTTCTTAACATGTCATGGATTCCACATATGAGATTACCACTTTCGTAGGTGAACCAAACCAGTAACCAATGATCTGGAGCGCGTCGATCCTATATTTCTGTCGGACTAGCTTGAGGTTCGCTACAATCTTTTACCACTACAGCAAACTGAATAAATCTCAGCAGGTAGCGATTAGGTAATTGTGACATATGATCTAGTCACATCAATTAGGCTGTCGACTGAAATGCTATCTTACATACAAACATCTACACTTCATCTAAACAAGGCTTATTAATATCAGTATTTCTTAGGTAAAGTACTGCCTCTAAATTCTTAGTAGTGTAATGTTAAGCAGTTCGATGTTAAAGTTTATAGTGTTGCGGATGGACAACTAACTCCAGTTATGCATAAGTGAGCCCATATATTTTGACATTCTTCTAGCTCTTCAAACACTGATGATCCATCACAGTCACATAATGTAAAAACAGAAGACACAGGTGAAAATAAGGGGGAATGTATTCACAATAAAATCTAATTTTGAAAGTCGCAACCAATCAAGTGTCATTCAAAAACGATATAAACAAACATGCATTCACAATGTTAACATCAAATGAAGAAATGTAAATAGAATACACTAATAACAATAGAATAAAAACCTGTTGCTAAATTTATCTTTGTCTAGACGACGAAGAGAATCCTAGATAGATGACGAAACTAAAATCGTTAGCATTATCTTCAAATCTATGTTTTTTTTACGAACTGGTACAACGTATAACCCGGTACATTATTGTATGAATGGTCATTTTCAGTAGTATTAGCACAATCATAATATTACGAGTGCAAAAAAATAAGCAATAGAAAATAATAACTAATAATCATGAAAAGTGGAAACAAGAAATAACTAGAACTGGAAGAGTAAAAAACGCACAACCTTCAAGACACTCTGAAGAATCAAGGCATCTGTACTGTTGCAACTGTTCTTAGAATCAAATACGGTATTCAGCCAGGGACACAGGCTATCAAAATCACACTATCTTCATACATTTGACATCAATAAACAATTACTGGATGCAAGTATTTTCTGTTTTAGTCTACGTAACGAAGTCCTTCCCTCCTCTTACTTCTATTACAAAAGTTTCGCAAATGAATGTCACCAGTGGTAAGGTATATGTAATAGTGGAATATTATGAAGTCAAAAACAATAACAACACTGATAGTCTATCTATGTCGTCTAAAGAAGTTATGAAGCGCATTAAAAGGGGTTTAAACTCGATCATTAGCAATTACTAATCCATTTGCGTATGAACTTAAGTAGTCAACAGTGAGCACTCCAGGAAACTTACACCAACCACTTAAAGACAATATACTACTTCCCTAAAGATACTGAAATCATTTTTTCTGAGAGATAAATTCAAGAGGAAAATCAATAGACGGGCAATCGTAATCGAATGTTGAGTGGTTCAAAAGTTGTCAGCAAATTTTTTTCGATGCATATTCTTTTGAAGACATTAGTCAGAGAAACCGAAATTTGAAAAGTTGACTCATTTAACACCTCATTCTAACGGCGGCCTGTTTAAACCTTGGGCGACCAAATTTATCCACCAGACGTTTTTCATAAAATTCTTTCCTTTCACTTTATTTTAATCATTTAAATGTCCTTTGAACATATCATGTACTTTTGCACATTTTTAAACTGTTTTCAACTCTCCATTTCTCGATTCAATAACAAATGCAGAGGGAAAATGTTAGGTTATGTGGAAATGGACTTTTCGGTGCACAAAAGCATATCATATTTCTATCCTTCAGGAGCTTAACTTGAGCTGCTGACTTTTGTACAGTTTGAATTAACCATCACCAGCAAAATCATGCTTGTATTTCTGTTGATTATTCATTATGGACCGGATGCCCATCCAGAACCAGCTGCCTATTCATATTATTGCCTTGAATACTGTTATTGTTAACATTATGCAGATGGACTGACCATTTCATCTGAAAGTATTGTTCTAGGAGTGAATTTGTTGAAAAATTACATGTTGAGGATTCCATACAGTCATACATATCGTTTGGAATAAAGCGATTATCATTATTATTATTTTCATTTGGATAATTCAACACCACTTAACTTAGTCAATATATGATCACCTATGGGTTTTTGTTTTCGATTAAACTATGAGCAA